CCGATGCTGCTGGGACCCTGGCTGAGAGTAAGACATACAAGGCGCTTTGCTGCCTTCAAGAGCCGTTTAGGTCAAAAGCCAGTTCTGCCTTCCACTGTAGATGTACTGTTTTCCATGAAGAAGTACTCCAGCCGTTTGGCAATGTGCCCCGGAAGCGCCAAGACCGACTGGTCTGTGCTCAACTAAATTTTTAGACTTGCAAAACGGACACCGATTTTGCAAACCTCTGTAGCTATGAAGCCCAACCCAATTGAGGGAGCCTTTTCCCTCGGTCTCCCTCAGTGTCAGAAAGTCGCTGCCGTTGCAAAATGTCTCGCTACAGCCGTGTTACCAAGCCACTGCGGCAATTGCGTGGCAGGGAAACCGTCACATTCTATCAAAGACGTAAATTTGTAAGACACGTCGGACAAGGTCTCGTCTGATTCGTGTCGCTTAGCTGCGGAGAATATTTGGCTTCCATTGAAAAGCATCGACCCCAGCCACAGAAACAAACAACGACCAGCTCGCGAGGCGAAGCACGTACAAAGACCAGAAAAGCTGCAGTGTAGATCAGCATGTACCCGTACGCAGCAAACACGAGAAACGGGCCGTTTACTCTGCCAGAAATATCAATGACCGTCGATTTGATGGCAAAGGAGCAGAGTTCCAAGTTCTTCCCTCTATCGCAAACAAAGGTGACATCATGGTTGGAATGCCAAAGGATGCCACTTGTCGGAATGTAGACATCGCCTTGGGACTAAGACGCTGGTTACTCCCAGCCAAGCTCGTATTCTGGGATTGCAACGTGACGACTCTCCAGACGAAAGGAATACCACGCGAATCAGTTCCGCATCGGTCTGATGCAGACAATTTCACTTTTCGGGATCGGATGCGGGCGCTAATGTGGCTCGCACCGGCGACTTGGCGATGTCCCCTCGCAAACGATCTCAGACATCATATGGCCCGCGCTTCTCTGGTTCGTTGCAAGGGATAGCACTTTAACCAGTGCATCCCGCCTGCGATTCTCCGCCCCTCCTTCACATCTACCAACCTCCCTCCCTGATGTCACTCGTTCAACAGTGGTAGCTCGACGTTACCAAACCTCATCGCAGAACACCGCACCGCACAATTCGCTTCACTCAGCAAACCTCAAAACCGACGGCATTTCGATGGACCACGAGCGACCATGACCGAGCTGAACGCCTTCATCTCTAACGGTACATGTTACCATGCGTCCGGCAAGAAGGTGGACGAATGGCTGCCGTGCGGCAACACTGCCTTTGGCCAATTCACATGTTGCCAACGATCTGATATGTGCTTGTCAAGCCGGGCTTGCTACAACGCACGATTTGGCGTTACTTACCTCGGCGGCTGCAGCGATCCAGAGTACAAGGATGCGAGCTGCCCAGACAAGGGTGCCTTGAGCAGTAAGTCGATCGTTGGGGGTCCGTCTTGTGATGGACGAGTGACTGACGAGGTGTCAACTCCAGGTCAACCTTGGGCAGGCCTCGTGTACTGCAACGGCACAACGGAGCAATGGGTAGCTTGCGAGCAAAAGGCACGACCGACGACACTCACATCGGCAGACGCATGCTGGTGCCCCCAAACATCACGAACAGTTGCGTTCACCGATTCCTCGATCCTCGAGAATGTCGTCCAGCTACCTACCACCCTGGGAGGTAGCGTCATCTGGCAACCTGGCCACGTTCCACTTCCAACACAACCTAACACGACACCGACGGGCACAGCTACTCAAACAACTGCTTCAATAACAAGCACGATCTCAGCATCACAGCCGACAGCTACAAATATGAACGAAGAAGATGACGGAACAACCATGACGGCAGGATCCAAAGTTGGCATCGGCGTTGGCGTCGGGTTAGGTTGCACCGTTCTTCTCGCAGTGCTGATTTACCTGTTCTTCGCCCGACGGAAATGGCAGAGGGGCGATATGGCTGAGCTGGACAACACAAAGTCAGAAGGCGGGAATGGCTGGGGCCGCAGTCCAATGACACCGGGGACTGCTGTGTCGGAACTGGACTCAAACACGCATCAGTGGTGTGACAGAATGGAGCTCGACGCGACCCCGAGAGGCTCCACGGTAGATGGACTGGATGGATATGGAAGCAAGGTCCACGATCAAGGTCAGGCTTATTCACTTGGAAAGTCGCTGAGCGTAAGCAAGGCGGGGAAAGGAAAGAGGTCGCCGAGCCCGATAGCAGAACTCCCGGGATGATTACATGATGTGAGGGACTTCGCATGAGATACCACCTGATTTCTTTGGCATGGAACTATCTGTCTACATTATGGCATAGCTTAGAAACAGCATATTTCCACATACAAATACCACATTCTAATGGGATTCTTGACTTCCCATTCAAGTTGATCGATGAAATCATGTCCGTTCTCAAGCGAGCCATCCTGCTTTCCTGTTGTTGGGGTCGAAGAGTTTTCGATCAATTCACATGCGGATTAGAATTTCAGCTGAACTCTAAACGCCAGGTCAAAGCGATCTTTCCCTTTCAACCTGGGCTGTATCTGACGCATTCCTCGTGGCGCGCCTCAATTGGTATCTGCGGCATGACCGACATCGGGAACTCCTCCAATTGGGTTGAAGGTCTCAGCCTTCGCGTTGTGAACATGCCGGAATACTTGCTGCCGGTATCAATACCGAAACATCCAATTTGCACTTCATTAATACAAGAAATCATGTGGTCAGGTCTCATGTCAGCGAGTCGAGCTGCGTGTGTTCTCCCGGTTCTATAAAGCTTTGGCTTTCGGTTCCTTCAGCAAGGTAACCTCAACCTTTCTTACGGTATTATCTTCAAACCCTGAGCCTCGCCTGGATTCACTTAGCATGTCATTTGCCACCAACACCGACCCAGATGGGTTTTGGGAGTCGTTTGTCGAACCTACTCCTGTACAAGCTACCACTGCTGCATCAGTACCAGCACAGTTTGGCAGCTATTACACGGAGGAAGCCTTCTCCGTAGCAGAAGCAGCCGTCTATTCATATCAAACCGCAGCCCACATCCCAGAATCAGTTCCAGTCAAGATCCTACATAATGTTGCTCCTAAGCGGATTGTCATCTGCTGCGATGGAACCTGGCAATCATCTACAACCGGAGAGAAGAACATCCCTTCTAACGTCACTCGACTGGCCCGTTCTATTTGCAGAACTGGCGAGGACGCAGATGGCAAGGTATTCCAACAGCTTGTGTATTATAGCTCGGGCATCGGCACTGGAGACTTAAGCTTCCTGGAAAAGAAACGTCAAGGAGGCTTCGGCGCCGGTCTATCTGGTGACGTTATCGAGGCATACAACTTCATCGTCAACAACTATGCTCCTGGAGACCAGATATTCTGCTTTGGGTTTTCCCGTGGGGCATACACGGCTCGTTCTGTGGCTGGCCTCATCACCGACATTGGCATCATTCAGCCTCACGAGATGCAAGATTTCCCGGAGCTCTACGACCTCTACCGAAAGCACGATGACAGCTACAACTTCCGTCAGTCCCCGAAGTATCGTCAGTGGATCACGGGAGTTCCCGCAAAGGATGGCGATTCTTGGAAATACGAATTCAGGAATGCCCGTTGGGATGTACTTCCGCACAAGATGCCTTCAGAGAAGACCAGGATCGTCGAGGTTGTTGGGGTCTTTGACACAGTGGGCAGCTTGGGAATACCTGACATCACTTATACGCAGTGGGGGAAGCAACTACTCCGAAAACTTGCGCCTTTCTTGGGCGTTGACGACGGGGGATTCCACAATCCATGCTTGAGCCCTTGTAAGATATCGCAATCTCCTACCACTCTTTAACCCTTTCCTCCTGGTCTTAGCTTTGCCTTCTATTCATGCCAATGAATAACCAGGAGGGTTTAGAAGGACTGACTGGGTTTTTGGATTGTGCTAATACGAGATCAGTCATCAAACGTGCGTTCCATACGATGGCCATCGATGAGCACCGGAAACCATTCTCTCCAACCCTCTGGCACCGCTCTCCACAGAACCATAATAATCTCCGGAAACCCCATGAGAGCAAAGTGAAGCTCAGGAACGGATTCATCACTATCTTGGAAAACGGTGGTGATGAGAATGAGAAATCGGAGGCATGGGAAGACTTCATAGCTCGTGCGGTGTACGATGAGTTGCACGGGAGCAACTCAGACCTCGTCCAAGTATGGTTCCCTGGTGTTCACATCAACGTTGGCGGTGGCAATTCAAACATCCTGGCTGGTGATGAATCCGACTTCGAACGTAAGCTTTATGCTCTCTCGAAAGGAATTGGGTGAATTCTAACAAATCCAGAACTTGCTCTCATATCCTTCGCTTGGATGTGCGACCAAATCAAGCCATATCTTCAACTCGACGATGATGCAGTGTATGAGACACTCTCTACCCTGGCAGATCGTGAAGTTGAGCAGCGAAAGAGAATGATCCAAGACCTTAGACGTGGCAAAGATTACGGATCCAATTGGGCTACGAAGCCTTTTTGGAAGGTCTTGGACTATACTGGGGTTTACAAGGCATCTAAGAAGGGAGCCCCCGAGGACGCATGGGCTTTGGGCACAATTGTTGACAGTTTCACTGGTATGATGAAGATGTCAGGGTCAAAATACCGTACTCCTGGACGATACAAGGAAGACAACGCCGACAATGACATGAGTGAGACGAAAGAGGAGATTCATCCTTCAGTCTTCTTACGCTATGAAACCCTCTCAGCCTATCGGCCCAATTCCCTCGCCGGATTCGAGAGATTCGAGAAATCATCAAAGAAGGGTAGACATAAGGTCACGCGGGGATGGAGGAATGGCAACCTCGTGATTCCAGAATATGTGATCAAGCCCACTGATACGATCTCGCGACGATTGGCTGAGTGTTTCGCCGGCGGGAAGGAGTTTGTTGCCAAGCTTGATGCTACAGGGGATGAGGTTTATGGCTACAACTGACTATCCATCGGGAATCAGGTTGCATTCTAGGATGCTAGTACTATAAACTAGATAGCTGTTTTTGCATTAACCCACCAAGTTGTTTCCGCTGTTCCTCCGGATGCCTCGCAGGCTACCTTCGTCGTGACCAGTCCGCAACCGAAGCTGCAAATTAGGTTCTCTGAACCTTTTGTCCGAGAAATTCAGACCACCCCGGTGGAGAGACGTTGGTAATACGGCACATGTCGCTACACTCACCGCGGAGCGCGTTGGCTCGATTCACGGTAATGCCAGGCGACGGGGAACTTGGGGACAAACGTGGATCATCCGCTAGACTGACGCTAAATCTAGACTCAACTGAGAGCGATTCGTTGAATCTTTTCGTGCGGGCGGATCTAATCAAGCATACGTTCTTCGCGATAGCTGTGGAAATAGTCGACATGCATTCATAGAAGGTACTGCGGAGATTGTTTGTACATTGTCTTTATTCTGTATGTGCTGAGAATATGAAGTTGTGAAATCAAAGTGAGGCTGAAAAGCTCAAGCCTCTGATGCAAACATAATCGCTTGTGTATGATGACCCATCCAAATCCCCCTATGACATTTCCCCTCGCACTTAGACGCAGGCGACGGTCTGAGTGCAGCTGTCGCCTCGCTTAAGACCCTTGCAGGCGTCCTCGTTGTCCTTGGTGGCCTTGGCGTCGAAGGTGTCAGTCTTGCCGCGCTGGCAGACGCCGGTGTTGCCAGTGCAGAAGAGGTTGGTGCCCTGTTGGCAGACAGACAGATAGTTGGCGGTCTCGTAGGTGGTGGCGCGAGGGACAGACGCAGCCGAGGCGACAGCGGCCAGGGCAAGGACAGCAAAGGTAGGGAACTGCATTTTGAATGTTTTGTGTGTTGGCTTGTTTACTCGAAGAGAGCGTTGATTGAAGAGAGTAAGAGTTGATGGAATGAGTGAAGTGGGTTGATAGAGGCTGATTGAGTTGGATGATGAGCAAGAAATGTGTTGGGTGTTTCTTCTTTTCTTATATGCCGTCCTTGTCGCCTGAGAAGCTATTGATCAGCGCTCGGGTAGATCGCGATTTCCCTGACTCAAACGAGGTTCCTCGGTTCCAGGGACTGTGTCGTCGCGAATAGAATCTCCCCAGGGGTGATGTGGGACGTTGGCGGCTGGGCGAAAGCTCCCTCCACTATCAGCTCACTCAGGCCTGAGCGTTGTCGGGGTTCCCGCTTGCAGCGAGGCGAGAACCTTAATGAACATAGCGAGGTGTGGCATTGCTTCATGCGCGTCGAATAGATTAATAGTGACGTTTCAGCCCTCTCTTGTTGGCTCCTAATCTGGATTAGACGGACCTGCGTTATTACCCCAGACAAGTCACCTGGAGGACTTTTGGGATAGAGTTATTGCAACTGAACTCGCTTTCAGGAACGATATTCCGGGTAAATCGGCTGCGTCACATCGGACCACGTTCGAAGCCTAGTCTAAATATTGCCGATACAATCCGTTGTAACTTGCTCAGGACTATTTTCAGATTGATCCTGGTTACAAATGCTTAGAAAGAGTCCAGAAGCATTTTGGAACGCTAGCTGCGAGCTTCTTTTTGGCCAATTACCGGAGTTTTGGTGAGGTGCTCAATTCTATCGATTCTTGGCAAACCATGTTGACTTGGCTCAACGAACAGAGAGTTCATCCAATGACCGATACTCACCTCGTCTGTCTAACTTAGGGACACTGGACATGATGGGAACTTGCGATCACCTGCTTGACATGCGAGATTCTGCACAGAAAATCCGTATGTATCAATGAACCGATGGCGTTGCATCTATCGAGAAGTCTGCGGTGTCGTTTTGGCCACCTCGTGTCTGCGACGACCCACAAAGCCTTGGAAACAGGTCGCCCTGACTCGGCAAATCCTGCTTGAAGCAACAGAGCGCTGAAGCTCAGCACCCGTCACCGCAGCACTGGGCCTAGAACTCTCAGTGCCGTCGGCCGCGGCTACATCGATGCTCCTTGCACTTATGCTCCGATCCGCGCGGCTCAGTTCACAAACAGGACTTTTTTAGACAGACGGACGGACGGACATTCGACAGTCTTCCAGAGCGAAGAAAACTGGATGAATTAAGCCTTGCAATGGTTCGTCTCTAACCAGACGCCTTTCAATCCGGAACGGCGCACAATCCTCCGCACACTTGGGGCCAGCCAGTTACTCAAAGACTTTCTTCCACACCCAAAGGCTCCGCGTGTTGGTGTATTGCTTGAATCCTTCAATGCCCCATTCCATTCCAATTCCACTCTCTTTGTGACCTCCGAAGGGAACATTGGGTGCAACGTCAAAATGCGAGTTGACCCAGACGCTTCCGGCACTGAGGCACCGGGCCATCCGCTCAGCGCGCTTCAGATCCTTGCTCCACACCGATGCGCCGAGGCCCGTTTCAAGGCCGTTGGCACGGTCGATTACATCCTCCTCGGAGGACCACTTCAGCAACGGCACAATTGGTCCAAACGGCTCTTCTTTGACGATACGAGAGTCCTCAGGTGGGTTGTCAATGATCGCAGGCTCGATGAAGTAGCCCTTGCAGGTTTCACGGACAGAACCCTCCAGTGCTGTTATCCAACCGCACTTTTCGATGTCTGCGTACATGTTCTTGACCAGCTCATATCTGGTCCAGCATCGTCAGTAAGATGTTGCAATTGGCAAATTTGAACTTTGATACTCACTGCATGCTGTTTTGAAGAGGCCCAACAATAACATCCGGCTCAAAGCCCCCACCAGTCTTGATGTTGTTTTTAGTGAACTCTACCATGGCATCTCTGAACTCATCATAGATCTTTTCGTGGACGTAGATTCGCTTCACTAGCATGCAGATCTGGCCCGAGTTCAAAAAGGCAAGTGTCGCGATCTTGGGCAGACACTTAGAGATGTCAACATCCTCACAGAGAATGGCAGCATCGTTGCCGCCAAGCTCGAGAAGACATCTCTTGAGAGTTTTGGCGCAGCTCTCCGCGACCCTCTTCCCTGTAGCGATCGATCCGGTGAAAGCGATCATGTCGATTCCTGGGTGTGCCGTCATCCATGGACCGAGATCATCGTTGCCACTAAGGACTTGGAACACTCCCGGGGGGAAGATAGACATTGCGATCTCGCCCAGCTTCAGGTCGCAGTACGGCGTATAAGGCGACGGCTTCATGATGATTGTGTTGCCCGTCATAAGCGCAGGTCCGACCTTGCCCAAACCCAACAGCATTGGCCAGTTCCAGGGAACAATGGCACCGCAAACTCCAAGGGGAGGGAACGTCGAGTAGATTGTTCTCTCGTCATTGTCCTCGAGAACCTCGTCTTTCACTTCCATGGTTGCAAAAGCACGCAGCCAGGCTATAGTCATGGTCATCTCCGAGTTAGCTAGGCCCAAAGGCTTGCCTTGCTCCATGGTCTGCAGCTTCTCCAGGCTTTCCCTGTTCTCTTCAATAGCGTCCGCATACTGCAGCACGAGCTTTGACCTCTCCTCATGAGTTGTCTTGCCCCATGTCTTGAAAGCCTTCCTGGCGTGTTGAACTGCATCGTCAAGCTGTTGTTTGGTGGCGACCGGCACCTCGTAGAGAGACTCTTCCGTTGCGGGGTCAATTGAGTGCCGGGTTTCGGCTGTTGGGGCAAATTCTCCGTTGATGATATTGCCCGGATAGGTCTGGATTTCATAAGCTGGAATGTTTCTAAGAAAATGAGGGTACCCATTCTACCTTGATATCAATCGCTGGCGCCATGATTATAGTCTGAGATGCCCCCAGAAGAGAAAACAATCAAATAAAATTTGAAAAGACTCGGTCAGAAAAACGTGTTAATAGAAAACTCTGGGCGAATCCATATTTTCAGTTGTCATTTATGAGAACACAACTTGTCAGCCGGAACATCATTCCGTTCCGACAGCGATGAAACTTATCTACGGAACACCAAAGTACCTTTACCCCGCAAGCTGCGCATATTCCGATGTAAGCCTGCGTGGCACTGTGGAGGGACGATAAGCTGAAGATTTGGGAACTTGCGCTAGCGTTACGTCTTGTGGTTGGTCGCCTTTTTGCCCGTCGACCTTGATTCGTCCACAGTCTTACCTGTCCCTGTGATCTCACATAAGACGAACCCTAGAGGATGCTGATCCATGCCAAATCTGGTGTCACCACGAGTTTCCCTAGGATCATGAACAAATGAAACCACTCGAACTCCATGTGGTGGGCCGATGCATTGTCATCCTAATGTCGTGTTTCTCGAAAGACTTGGCTCTGTTCTTTAACCGGGAACTTTGGTACGACAGAAGACCTTTTTTTGGCGACACTTGGACGATGACGGATGCATGGTGGAATCGCAGTTCAGTAAGGGTCTTCGCATGTTCTCAAGTGGGACGTGAATGTCTAGAAGATCAATATTGTTCCCCGGCAGATTGGGTATGAGAAGCAATCTCAGGCTGTTCGATGCAACCTAAAGTTCGGATTTCTTAATTGTACGGCAGAAGCCTTTCTGAATTATTATACTGGGCAATGTAATTGATCCCGATCCTAACAAGGTTGAAGATCTCGCTTGCGACGGCACGATCTGACCAGACACTGGGCCTCGGAGACTTTTCGTCTGGTGTTCGAAATGTTTCCGACAGGTGAGCTCGGTCTTACGGATCTAGCAGAGCGAATTGAAATTTGATGGCAAAAGGCGTGACAAGACCTTCCAGCGATGTGTGTATAAGTACTACATTGTTCTCTCGTGCTGCATGGAATGTGTTTTCAAGCCTTCAAGGTGAGGCAAGCAATAAAGCAACCAAATCTCTACCATGTCAGACCAGCATGACCCAGAATACCTTCTTCGCGAAACGAAGCGCGAGATTGAACGACTTCGAAAACAGCACCAATGGTTCCAAGGCTGTCTGGAAAACAAGACTGTCTTCGCACCGGTAGATCTCAGTGATCCGTCCCTAAAGGTTCTCGACGTCGGCTGTGCTGATGGTAAGTCCCGACCGCCTGGTTCAAATTTCCCCTCGTTATCATTCTGATCAGTCGATCTAGGAATCCTTTTAAGAGATCTCAGACAAGAGCTTGCGCCATCTGCACAACTTGTCGGTCTCGATTACATGCCTTCCTTCCTCCCTGAATCTCCCGATGGCAACATTCGCTACACGACCGGAGATGCATGTGAACGGCCCGCACCTGACTTAGCCGGAATCTTCAACTTCACTCATGTTCGTTTCGTCCTACCAGGATGCGGAAAAGCCGGTGCGGATCGTGTAGTCTCCAACCTAACAGGTAGGTCTTGATGGTGCATTCATGGTGCAGCTTTACTTACGTGGACCTCAGAAACACTTGCGCCGGGAGGCTGGCTTCAGATCCAAGAGATGGATCTTTCAGCAGGTCGCACCGATCATCCCTCTGCATTCAATGAGGTTCTTCAACTCTTTGAAGCCGTTTTCGAAGCGGATGGTATGGGAGGTCGTTTCAGCTCCAAGATGGATGAATCATTCACCAAGGCCGGGCTAAAGAACGTGACACTGCAACGCCTCGAGATCCCCGCAGGAAAGAGAATTGCGGACGAAACCCTTCGAAAACTGTCTATCGAACCATTTAAACTGACAATTCCAACAGTTATTGGGGCGGCGAAAGGTACGAGTTTATGACATTGCCTAAGCAGGGTGGCAGCCGTGAAATGATCAGCTATTGACAGTATTCAATAGCAATGAGCCTTGAACTCCCAGACTCCATCTTTGATCGTTTGGAAGAGCGCTTTGAGGATGAAATGCTCGAGACAGGAGCAACGTTTGGCACATTCGTCGTCTGCGGTCAAAAGTCTTTGCGGTGAATACCCATGTACTGTTAAAAAGCCCTGCGGAAATAATACATGGCAAGCATTCCATGACTTACATCATTTCGTTCTCTTTTGGACTGACCGAAAATATCGTGTCTGTCTTTTACTAGTGTGTTTCTCTGCTGGTATGTGGCTAGAACGTCTACAGACTTGCGCTGAGGATCCCCGCAATACGGCAGAGTCGTACTTCAGGTTTCCAGACGATCATCAGGGGTCACTGTGCAACGATCCTCATCAACATCCTATCAGATAAACAACTTAGCATGAGCTGACTTCCAAATTTTGGTACATGACCGTGACATAGATATTTATTGCCTTCTCTATACATCCATGGCAAGTCGATGCGTGCGACTCCTAAGTTGGCCCTGAGTCCACCTCCATGAACAAAAAAGTTCTTAATAATGGTGTTAGCGTCGTGTGTGGTCAATCAATGTCAATTTGAACGAAGCTCGCCTCCCAAGATACAGCTTACCTAGGTCACTCTTCAATTGCAACAGCCCTGGCCGGCGCAGAACGCTCTGTTGCTGTTGTTGCAAGCATTGGCGCGAATGCAAGTAGAGCAAAGGTCTTGGCGCTTGACGAGAGCCCAGTCAACCTCTGCGTCCGCACGAGGAGTAACGGCTGCGCCAAATACTGAAGTGGCAGCGAGAATAAGCAGCATGAAGGACTTCATGTTGAATCGTAAAGTTAAGAGAGTTAAGTTGTTAGGAGGATAGAAGGGGTAGAAGTAATGGTCGATGGGGAGGAGACGGGATTAGCAAAGTGAGAGAGACAGAATGCGATTTTTATAGAAGACTGTCAGACCACCCGGCGACTTTCTGTCCGCGGTAGTCCGTATTTTTTGAGTAGTGGTACCGGTGCCCCTTCATTCTGGAACACGGGGAGTGTTAGCGACCGCGTTTACGCAAGAATGGTCAAATGCGAGATATCCGAGGGATGCGGAAAAGAAAAGCAGGAACCTCTTCAGCAATCTAATTGAGTTTGCACAAGTTCTGTCTCAGTTTGTGTCTTTCAGTACAGCATAGGTCGGCCACCCCGTCCGTTTGGCTTGAGTTCGCTGTTCGTATGATTGGCGATACCCGACCAGGCATACATGAAGCCGCTGAACATTGACTACAGGTCCGTCAACCTCTGTTCATCTGGCATCTCCTGAGATTGTCTTTTCAGGTGATTGTGATTGCTCCGACAGATTCTGCTTTAAACTTCTCATAGGCGTATTGGAAGAAAGAACGCGGTGATCTATTAAGGGTTTGATTTTCAAAAGCTGAGTCTATGTCGGGCATGTACGTTATTAAGCCTTGACTCGAAAGGTCCCCCCCCCTCCCCAAAGCATATCTCAACCACAGTCATTATCACAAATACGCCATTCTCGAATGTGACACCGCCGATCGATGTCAGTTATTGCTCGGAAAAGATCACGACTTTCTTAGCCGCTGCCCTGCAATACACGCATAATTCACAAACGATACGAGAACGTCATGCCATGAATTTCAATCGCACTTTGCTCTTTTTCGTTGCCAAAAAACGAACCTTTGGTCGACATGTCTTAAGCTTCAAACAAATTTCATATGCACAAGATGGTGATTACGGTTTAGGAACTGCCTCGTTCCCGAAAAGGTACCTGGCTTCAGTAGTAATTTATTCTACAAAATATGTGCATGTGACCTGATGGTCTACCGAATGAGAGAGACGCATACGATCGATTCACGACTGCTTTGAATGTCGTTCGATGCTTTACTCAACCGACTTCAAGCTGAATTCCTTTACGAGGACAGAACCGCCCAAAGACTTGGTTGCAAAGTTCTGCACCGCGAATCTGAAGGCCATGAAATATTGCCAGCGGTTGTGCAAATGCCAGCTGTCTCCGAGCTGAGTGAAAGTCTCCCCATCAGTGCTGTACGAGAACTGCGCAGCGTTGGTATTCTCCGCCACCCAAAAGGAGGGCGTAACATCAGCCGTAGTCCTCAACCAGATATCTCCAGCTCCAGTGGCAATCGTCGTCAGATCGATTTCTGCAGTGGCTACGACGGTGCCATTTGACGTAGTCTGCCATCCTGTACTCTCGGGAGCCAGGATGTCGTGAACGGCGAACAGCTTGAGAGAATCGCCTTCTTTCTGGAGACCAACGTAAGCCGACTCATCCCTCAAGATCGAGACGCCAGTGATATCCCCGTCCGCCATGTTGGCTAGGTTAAGACGGAATGTGCCACTGCTCTTGGGTCCCAGAATGCGGTGCGTGAGGGTGTTGCGAGCCGAGTACAGATCGTACGTAACCGTCGCCGTGTGTAGTGTGAGGCCGTCAGTTCCAAGCTCCCAAGCAGTGTTGTCAGGGTTGTGGTTCCACTCCCACTCTGGGTCAAGTCTAGATCCATCGAAGCTGTCCAGAACTTCTCCGACTGGGTTGACAGTCTTGTCTGTGGTCACAGGCAAGGGGTAAGTCTTTCCCCATCCTCCGGCCTCGTCAGTCACAATGTGAGGCCAGCCCTCTTCGTCCCATGAAAGCGGAGCCAGAACGGGAATGCGGCCAGTTGGGTAGGCGTCAATAAAGCCCATATAGAACCAGTCGCCTGCTGGGGTATCGATAATACCGCCCTGATGAGGTACCCCTGAGTCGGGGATTGGAGAGGCCATGCGTTCGAGAATGGTGTTGTTTGTGTACGGCCCCCAAGGATTGTCGGCCTTCAAAACATGCTGCTCGTCCCCGGGCTTCGTCACCCAAATGTAGTAGTTGCCATTGATGTGATAGAATCTGGATCCCTCCAAGTAGCGCGTGGCATCGGTCCATACTTCCTATGCATGGTTAATATCAAGCTCATCGAAGACAACGCCGCAACTCACCTCTTGTCGGACAGGTTGCAAGCCATCAGCAGACATCTGAGCGATGCTGATATTGTACTTTCCATATGCGATGTACATCGTATCGTCGTCGTCGACGAGAACTCCAAGATCGTAGAAGCACTCATCCAGCGGAGGGTGGCTCTGCCACTCGCCGGCGGGATCCGACGCAGTGAAGATGTACGTCTTGCTAAAGTCGATGCATCCATACCAGTAGAACAATCCGTTACTCTCGCGGTACTGCAGAGAGCTTGCCCAGATGCCACCAACGTACGCCCTTTCGGTGCTGTTCAGGTAGTACTTCTCGCCGAAAGTAAGCTCTGGTACGGAGTGTCCGATGAACTCCCAGTTGATGAGGTCGTAACTTTTCAAAACGGGTGCGCCGGGAGAGTAGTGCATTGTCGAGGCCGTGTAGTAGTAGGTGTCGCCGACGCGAATGACTTCGAGATCGGCGAGATCCTCATAGATCACGGGGTTGTCAAAAGTCTGAGCCACCGCCATGGTAGCGGCGAGGACGGTCGACGCCAGCTGAAGAAGCTTCATCGTGATTGTAGACTGAGATCAGCGCCTTGGAGCTTGCCCATCAATCATGCGAAACAAGTGAGACCATGTACGAAGCATTATATATGTCTTGATCAGATTGATATCAAACCATTTCCTGCCTCCATCGACGAGTTCCCGAGCGGTTCGCGATCCGTACACTCCACCACGCGACGCAACGTCATCCCACCGGTTCAAAGAAGTGTTACGCAGTTGCCAAGTCTTTCCACTTGCGCACAAATGATTGCCCTTCTAACTCCCGAACCTGGTTGCTGATCGAGTTGTGATTGGTGCGCAAGGCGTCGGTTGGGGTTGAGCTGGGGCGCTTAAGTGCGGAGGCGGGGGATGTTCCAATCTGAGGATCGTCTCCAGCTTCGTGCGGAGAAACAACGGGCCATGATCCTATGGTCCAAAACTGCTAGATGATGTCTTTCTAGCTGATCTCAATGTCGGATAGAAAAGAAATCTCCGGCCGCTGAGCCGCCATGAGATTATTCGCACGGATAGCGCGTATCGTCAAACAACAACGTCAGGTGTTCGCAGTTAAACTTGACGTGAATCTTGCGGGCAAACTCAACATTTCATCGTGTATTTCTCATAGGCAGGCATAGACTACCCAGGCCGAAGTCCAAGTCTCCATCATGGGACTTGAACTGAATCACGATTGCCAAAGTTCTATGGAAAGAAAATCTATCATGTGCCGAACCAGCAGTGAAGAAAGCATCGTGCCGCCAACAACCACAATACAATAAATGTTTCCATCGAAATACTTATAATGTTTTCTTTATATACAGTTCACATCGTACCTGGAGGGTATTGGCTCTTTACACAAGCTTAAAGGGAAGCGTTTTCTCTAAGTGAGTAATTAATACATGTGCAACGCAACGATGTTGAGTCTCTCCAGATCCATCCCCAAAATGAGTAGCGGTCAACAAACGCGTCGGGTATTAATTCCGATACCGGTTGCCGGTGATTGACATGTCAGCCATCCCCCTCCAAGCTCGATGACGAAGCGAGTCATACAAAATCAACGGCATCAATTATGCCGTCTTCCGGCTTGGACCCGCTGTCATAATGCCCCCGGATAAGGTACTTGCCACTAACCATCAACATTGAACTCCTGAAACTGGCAGTTGGCTACTCCCATGATGTCCTTGTCGTAGGCCTCAAGTTGCGAAGCGTTGTTACGCCTTCGCGTAAGGTTTCGGGACTTAGTAATGTTATACGGCAACATCATGTGGGAAGTTCATGCTAGATATCGCAATCCGCTCGCAATCGCGGTCCTGCAGACGAAAGAGGAACGCGAGCATCACCAGTCCTGGGAATCATCTCCGAAACATCCTATGGGACAAAAGTCAGCTATGCAGAGATATACACGCATCCCATGGCTACTGCCAAAGAGAATAGGGGCATATACTATGTGCTTAAACCGCGCGGCTTCGTCCGTTTCCGCGGAACTGTACTCAAGTCACAAACTGGCCTGTACGCTCTGTCTTGATGAAAAGGACCGGCCCCAACCCAATGGAGATGAAGCCCCTTCCCCTTGAGTGATCATGCTATTGGACTGTGGCTTTGTCCCAATCAGCTGACATCTCCAAGCATCAGCTTTCTCAACAGATATCTCCACTCCAGATCCAAGCTCCCAAAGCCGTTGAGCCAGATAGTATGGAACATTGCCGAATACGGACGGGCTTGCTCAAATATGGAAGATCTCCCGTTGAGTAATCCATGTGACTGAAGCTTGGCTCGCCGAAGACGCCGCACGCGTACCGTATGCCCTCAGAATAGATCAAAAAGTCTATGGTCCTCCTTACGCTTATTAACGGCGTAATGCCAAGTCTGGATGGCAAAAAGAAAACAGCCAGATGCCTGAATTCAGACTATGGAATAATATCTGACCAAGGCGACAGTTGCAGATGTTGGAAGTCAAGCCCGTTTTTGGTCCGTCCAAGTCCATCAGTCATCCCTTCAGGGCCAACACGAGGTTGCATTCTGGTAGACTCCTCCGTTGTATTGATGCAGTTCGGATGGATGTCCCGGTATTGGCGGGCACCGCCTCAGGGTCACTGTTTCTGGAAGGCTTCAAAATCGATCGGAAGTCCCGGGAGTCATTGGCAGCCCGAGTGGCTTGGTGCTGGGTGGGACTCTGGACCTTTCCCCAGCCCCACGCGGAGGTGCTTCACCAGCCCGAAACCGAACCGGGACTGCCCTGGGTTGACTCAAGACTTCTGAGAGTAACCATTGTCACTCTGTTGCTTCATCTCGCCAATGTCGAATATTGAATTGGCGGCCAAATTCTAGAAGCGGTGAAACGGCAACGATGTGCCTTCACCAAATTGAAATCATGAATGGAATTGTTTGACGTCTTCTGGTGAACAGCCTGATGATGAGTCGGGTTCAGCCCGATTGCAGTTGGAGATGAGACTGGAGCGTTCGGACGATGTGGTGGGGCTCAGGTTGATGAGGCTCAAACCTTGTTTGATTGCCCCGGCTATTAAGTCCCGTGATATTGGTGACATGTAAGTCGAGACCAACAAGAACCAACTTTTTGGATCAACTACGTCTAAGGTTGGCGGCTAAATCGACAACTCTACCGCGTGAGTTTTCGCAATGCGCTTTTGAACTTTGGTCCTCCGCTTCTCGTAGTAGACTTTTGAGTGACCCCGAGATGCTGCATCACCATCGACATGACCGTCAGCGTCAAATTGAAATGGCCAAGAAGAAACGCGTAAGGGGGTAACGGTTTCTGCTCAGTGAAAGGGGGTTTTAGAGTGCGAATAGATTGAGCTTCTAGAAACGTCGTCTCAACTCTCCAACAACACCGGACGATTCGACAAGGATATCCCCAGATTGACAGCCAACACGAGTCAAAAAAGGGGGCATAATCTCCAGAAATTAGAGTTTGGGCACCTCGCCCTGCTGGGAACATGATCATGCCCGAGACTGCCGATATCCCAGCGCCGTGGCTCGGGGACAGCTTCGCTCGGCTCGCCGTGATAGCGACAGCAAGCCGGGAACGCGGTTCCGTCGCATCTCTCGCCCTGCAGCCACGTTCCCCGCGGACAGGCCCTTGGGGTAAACCAGCGTCTGGAAATGGCTTCAACCCCTCTGAACTCAACCTCGCATAGCCCCCCCTGAGCCCCTTGCGACCCACAAACAACATTGACGGAGGCCATTCGAACTGGCAACTCCCGAATCTAGAATGCTAGCGTCAAAGCTGTTGGTTTCCTCCCCTTTCCCCCTTGGGACCGGGGCGGCAATCAGTTGTATAAGTAGATGAGAGATTGTCAGTGTTGAGCAGACTTTCCGAAGCATCATCAGCATCCAGCTCTTCGATCCAGTCTTTCGCTAAACCAGCTACACAATCGTTTCAACTTACCCAAATTCACTCGCTCTTCATTTAATCATCTTTTTTTGATACCATCCGAATCATTCAAAATGCAGACCTCTTACATCTTCACCACCCTCCTCGCCGCTGCCGGCCTCGTTGCCGCTCTTCCTGTAAGTACCTAAGACAACTCGACGCCATTTCCCCGGGATCAGCTCTTTGAGCTCTCTTCCACCACACATCTGCAAATAACACAAACACCCAAGACCATTCTTGCTAACAACCTACACAGCAGGCTACTCCCACCCAGGTCACCCCCACGGGCACCGCCTCCGCCACCGCTTCCGCCACCCCCACCTGCTCCCAGGGCCCCGTCGTTGACTACACCGTCGTCTCCGGCGACACCCTCACCATCATCTCCCAGAAGCTGAGCTCCGGCATCTGCGATATCGCCAAGCTCAACAGCCTCGAGAACCCCAACCTCATCCTCCTCGGCCAGGTCCTCAAGGTCCCCACCCACATCTGCAACCCCGACAACACCTCCTGCCTGTCCAAGCCCGGCACCGCCACCTGCGTCGAGGGCGGCGCCGCCACCTACACCATCCAGAAGGGCGACACCTTCTTCATCGTCGCCGGCGACCTCGGCCTCGACGTCAACGCCCTGCTCGCCGCCAACGAGGGTGTCGACCCCCTCCTCCTCCAGGAGGGCCAGGTCATCAACATCCCCGTCTGCAAATAAGCGGGTCGTTGCGGTTGATGACATCTTCCGGCGGCTTGGTCTGGTGACCCGGTTGTCGGCATCAGTGCGGAATAGCGTACTTGGGATTTCCTAGTGTATGGGTCTGGTTTTGTAGAGTCACATAGATGGTAGCTCACTGCTGAAAATTGAACTGGATATAATCGTTTTGCCTTCTCATTCATTACAGTGCCGGGTTGTGGTCATGTCGTACTGCCCTGAAGCTTGAAATGCATTCAACCAGTAGACTTTACTCGGCTTTTTGCACTAGATTATCGATTAAGGTGCTACCAGGTAGTGAAACCCGAAGGTTTGGTGCAAGAGACAGGGCCGTAATAATGCTTTTCTATGCCTTGGTTTAGGGGGCTATTTCCTAAGTTTCTGTCAGCTTCTTCAACACCTTGTCGTTCGTTGCTAGGAAAGTTGCCAAAATAGTCAAGCGTAACCATGGAACATAATGAGGCCACAACTTCTGCTTATGCGTACTAAGCGGCACTGCTATTGGTATCATTCAAGACAACTATTCCTCCCGTTTCGTTTAGTCAAAGACCAAACTTGACTCCTTAACTCCTATTCGACTTCTTCATAACCTCTTTTCCCTTTTCTCACGCCGACTCTCTCTTCTCGACCTTCTCAGCCTGCGCTTGCGCTTCATGCCTCGCCAACCCAGCGGCGGAGTCCTTGCCGTCAAAAAGCACCGCAATCTCCTCCAGCGTGGGCCCTCTGGTCTCCACAAAGAAGAAGTAGATGACCAAGACCTCAATCACCAAGCTGGGGGCCTTGATTAGCAAAGTGTCACAGACACAACATCGGGTACGACACTTACATTGCAATGTAAACAAAGTAGAAACGCCATTCCAACTGCTCAATTCCGAGCGGGTTGACCCATTGGTTAAAGACACCGCTCAGCGCCGTGAAGCAGAAGCACAGCGTGAGACCCTTGGCGCGGATGTTGTAGGGGAGAATCTCGACGGTGTAAGAGACTGTCAAACCAGGCCAGGCAGCGCCAGCGACACCTGAGAGGAAGTTTTGTCAGTCAGAGACACTTACATCATAGCACTCGGATTTATTACGTACCGTAAAATACGAATATCATCGCTACCACAGCGATGCCAGCCGAAGACGACTCTGTCTGAGCGTAGACTGCGCTACACGCCGTCCAGACAGAGAATGAAAGCAGCATGCCAATGCCGGCGAAGAGGAACAGAACGCGGCGTCCGATCCGGTCGACGAAAAATGCGGCGGTGAGCGATACAAGCCAGGACCAGATGGTGAGGCCGCCGTTGATGTACGACTGTGTAATCGAGCTGTCGAAGAACCGTGTCAGCATGTTTTGTCAGTCTTGCTAAAGGTGCAACTCACTCCTTGATACCAATAGTATTCAGAATGACTGCCTCAGACGTCAGTTACCGACCACACTACCACGTGATACTTGATAAATACTGACCACTCAAATAATACGAAACCAGGCCGTTTCCAGAACACTGCGAGAAGATAGCCGTCGCAATGATCAAAGCGCACCGCTTGCGGTTACCCGGCGTGCGCACCAGCTCCATCCACCCGCTGTTCGCCGCCGCCTCCCTCTCCAACTTGAGGGTGCTCGAGATCTCGGCAAACTCCCAGTGCGCGAACGCGTCGGTCTCGTCGCCGTTGCCGTGGTACTTGATGAGCACCCGCTTCGCCTGCTCTTCCTTGCCCTTGCTGATGAGCCAGCGCGGACTCTCGGGCAGGAACCACACAGCGAGGAGCTGAATCCCGGGCATCATGCACTGGAGGCCGGTGGGCAGGCGCCATTGGATGTCGCCGTGTTGCTGGGTGAGTGTGCCGAAGCCTGGTGAGGCTGTTAGGGAGTGCGCAAAGGGGGTATTGGTGTGGGTGACTTACAAGTCCAGGCTGCGATGATCGAACCGAGGTCTGATTACAAACTGTCAGCAACGCATTCTCCCTCCTAGATGGGACTTTCTTACACCAGAGCGTGTTGTAGAGAGTCGTGACCTTGCCGCGGTGTCTCGGATGCGCGACCTCGGTGATGAGCAGCGGGCACGTGCCGTTGGAGATGTTGGAGCCCGCGCCCATGATGAAGCGGCCGATGAGGTACATTGCGTCTCTGCCCGCGCCCTCTTTGGGGAAGGCCTGCAGGAGAGCGCCGGCGACGACAAGCACACATCCGATGGCGGTTCCAGTCTTTCGGCCGAGGCCGTCGGCGATATACGGGGCGAAGAGGAGGACGAAGAGGCCGCCGAAGCCGGGCATGGCGCCAAAGATGCCGAGACGGCTTCCGGTCGGGTGGTCAAAGTCTGAGTGAGACGGTGTTAGCTTGTTGTCGCGATGTCAATTTCAACTAGACATTGCGATACGAAGGGCCCTCTCGAGCAAGGTATGATGGAGAAACAAGACAGCACTTACAAGACTGCCATGACTGCATGGTCTGAAGCCCGTTCAGTAAGCTTCCATCGTAGCCTAGTGTCGTCGATCCCAGGAAGAGGAAGACCATCATGAAGTACAGCTTCCTGAGTTCATGTTGCTTGTACCACGGCAGAGGCGATCCCTCGGGGGCGTCAAGGCGCGGTTCCTGCGTGATGTCGACATGGTCTACACCATTGCTCTCTGACTGCTTCAGCTCCATGGCGTATGGGAGATTGTAAGAACCGAGCTGTGTGAGTGAGAAGATGGAGTTGTTGTCGCCGAACTAGACTGGGGTTGCCGCGTGTCTCCCCGTTTCCATCCTCCTGGGAAGTCGAGAGATCTCCGAGTGTACTTATAGCAAATTCCGACTTCCGGGCTACAGCAGCAAGCAGCATGGCATCTCGATATTGCACGCCGCCTTATGCCGAATCTGGCTCGAATGGACCTGCCAACTAATTGCCTGGTGTCCTCTTCGAGCCAAGGGCAGAACAACAGGCCACCCGACAAAGAGCCGAGGGTCGTTTACCCCCGATGACGGGTTCCAAGACAACAGACCACGCACGTCCAATGGCAGGACGTTGGGACGACGGCGTCACCAAGCGGCGCTTCGTTTCTCCAAGGGGGGGTATTACGGGGAGGGGCGGTTGTCAAGGCCAGTTGCAATCACGAGACTAGATCGTCATTGGAGCGAGTACAGACGAAGGGTGCCCCGTGGGGGTGGGAACAGTTTCTCGCGAAGGGGTAAGGCGGACGGGAAAGGGGACCCAATATTAGACTCCACATCTTGCAGCTTGCCCTGGGGTAAAAAGGCTCAGCTTCTTTGCTCATTGGAATCGCACGGGAACAGGTGGTGAGAGAGAGGGCCCTGACACCGGGTTACGGATGTCGGTTTTTGCGTGTGGTGATGGCGTGGTCGAATTGGCTAGTTAGGGGTGCCGCCAACATAACCCAGCTGCGCGGAATGGATTGTCTGGGGGAGCGGCGACGCAGAATACGACGACGACTTGCTGCACTATTACTAAAATCTACTCTGTACACAGAAACACCAAGCCGAGTTGCGAGAGTAATGATAGAGTTTGGTGTACACTCTGCAACTCAAAGTCTGCTGCATCGACTGCAGCTATGCGCGTTACGGTCTGGACCATGACTCGATTTGTGACGCCCCAGTGCGGGGACATCCCCTGGTCGCTTTAGTCTTCCGAGAGCCTCTTTACTCCGTCTGGCAGCCCACGTTCTACGGGGGGATGGGAGTTACTCCGACGTATATGCGAGGCGAGAGGGGTGGAAGGTTTTCGCTAGGGGGGGAAAACAAGGAGCATTTGAAAACGAACACTGAAGAGCCGTTCTGCATGCTCTGGATGGCCCGACAATTCTCCTCGGATGTCTCGAGACACCACTCGCAAGTCCCCAACTGCCGCAGCTGTGCCTTGTCCGTTCTCTCCAACCCGCCAATCTTTTCCCCAGCCTGTCTCGTCTTTCGCCACGCCCAAAGGGAAAATCCGACCGCACACCAGCCGACCGGGACCAAATCAATCACCAGGACCCATGCGGGCCACGTTTTGACGGACTGGATCCATCTCAAGCTTCTGCTTCGGCCTACCAGCTTCGAGAACCCTTTCTGAAGCTGTCTCTCTCCACAAGTTCGCCAATTGGGAGGGGGCGGGCCGTTTCCACCACGAGTTGTTCGGGTGAAGGTTGCAGGTTGTGTAGGTTCATGTTACCGTGAGTTGTGCAGCGGCGGTTGATTGCCGTCTACTGTCACTGTAGCACGACGCACGGCAGGGCGGTGTTCCTGTTTCTGTCTGCCCGGCTATCCATATTGCGCCTCCTCGGCATTAGATCTGGTTTTGGGTTGGGCTGGTCTCCTCCGGGAGCGGCTGACTGCTTTGACTACATACCATGGACATGGAGATCGACCGAGCAGTACAACATCAGCAGCAGCAGCAACCACCACCGCCACCACCGCAACCACCGGACGGAAACGGGTCTCGCTCTCCACTTTCGACATCCCCGGCGTCGCCCGCCAGCGGCAGGCCGAGGACCAAGATCATCAGGAACCAGAATGCCTGCGACGCATGCCGGGCCCGCAAAGTCAGGGTGAGATGATTTTCCCAAGGAGTCTTTTTCGTTCCTTTTTCTGCCCAGTAATCGTCTGTCATGTTTTCATTAACCATACAGTGTATGTCACTTAACATGTCGTAAACAACATCAGCATACTGGCCGGCTCAACTGACTGACTGATTGATCGGCAGTGTCTGTACGGAGCGGGCGAGACCCGGTGCCAAGGCTGCTCGTTCCTCGACATCCACTGCACACATGACCGGCCGCGGCGGAGGAGAGGGCCGCCGAACAAGTTCCGTCCAACCTAACCCACCCCCGGTCTGCAGCACACACATCCGATGTCGTTGTTGCACACCACCCCTGACCACTTACACTGACCAATATCAAACAGACATGTACAGCAGCAACATCAACTCCAGACTCATCAGCAGCAGCAACAGGCTTTACCCGGGCCATCTAATCAACAAAGCCCCTCGGCATCGGAGATCACCTCTCCGGACCTCAACCTCGCCTACCAGACCTCGCCCGCCTCCTCATCCGCCCACACGCACACCACCCCGCGCTCCCACTCACACATATCCGCCTCCGCCGTCGCAGCAGCAGCAGCAACAATAACAGCAGCAGCAGCAACATCCTCCTCAGCCTCGTCCGTCCCCGACCTGCGCGCCCTCATCGGCGCCCCGAGCCCCAACACGGGGCCGGGACCGGGCCACGGCACCACCGCCACCTCCAACTACCTCGCCCTCTTCGCGCCCGAGGCCCTCGTCCACCGCATCCTGCACGACTGGTTCGAAAAGGTGCATTCCCTCGCGCCCGTGCTGCACCGGCGGCGCTTCATGCACCGCCTCAAGGCCGGCGAGGCCGCCTCCGACCGCACCTTCTGCGCGCTCGTCGTCAGCGTCTGCGCCGCGACCGTCGCCACCCTCCGCCGCGCCGACTACCACCCCGTCACCGTCGAGGGCTGCCTTGACTTCATCGAGGACCACCACCTGCTCGACCACGGCATCCGCAAGCCCGCCTATTCGCTCGACTGGTGCATCGCCATGTACAACATCGGCACCTCGGCGAGCTCCATGAACGAGAACGGGCTGGGGGACATGGGCTCGTTCCACGGCATGTCCGAGGCTGCGGCGGGGGCGAGGTTCCTCGCGTATTACCGCATGGCTGACTTGGATATGTCCGAGCAGCAGCTGCTGAAGCGGCTCTTCTGGCTGATCTTTGCGGCGTATTGGTACGTAGCATCCCCATCCCCCCACCCCGTCACTCTGTATGCAACCTTGGGATCAACATCCATGCATGATGGAGGGTGTTCTTCAACATGGGATGACGACACCACCACCGGTTGACCTTTTCCACGCCATACTCATTCTAACACTATTCCCCGTTTCCCCAATACAGCAGCGCAGACATCTTCGGCCGCCTCTCCGTCTCCATAGTCTCCCACCAAGAAAACCGCGCCCACCTCCGCCCCCTCCCCCTCTCCGACTCCCAGCTCGACACCGGCCCGCAGCTCTCCCCCGCCGACGGCCTGGCCCCCTGGCACGGCGACACCACCTCCTACGTCCCAGGTCTCAACCACCTCAGCGACCTCTTCCTCATCTGGCACGAGGCCCAGACCGCCCCCGTCAGCGTCTACGGCACCCAGGAAGACGCCCTCAAGCACTACCTCGCGCGCATCCAGACCATCATCGACAGCTTCCCGCCCGAGCTGCGCTGGCGCGGCGGGCTCTCGCGCCCGGGGCACATCACCGAGGGCCACGACACGCAGATCGCCAACCTCTTCATCACGAGCCTCAACATCCGCTCGAACCTGCTGCAGAAGTTCGGCAGCACGGTGAAGACGCGCGCCGCGGAGCACCAGCGCATCGTGGACGACCTGCTCGAGATCCTGTATCACATGCCGCAGCACGTGCTGGAGCAGAACGGGAACAGTCTGATCCCGAAGCTGCGCGACTGCGGGGCGGCGTACATGGAGCAGATGAACATTGGGGATGGCGGTGATGGTGGTGGAGGCCCCGAGACGTTGGTGAGCGAGAGCGCGCGGCTCAAATTGGAGAAGCTGTTGAGGAAGCTGGATGATATCGATTGCTGGCCGGGACTCCCCGGGGTGGAGAGCCCGCAGAGCAATAGACAATAGCCCCAAAGGAGTAAAATAAGATGAAAAAACATACAAAGAGAATAAGACGCTACATGATATTACCGGGAAGGTGGGAAGAGACGGCCAAAGACACAGCAAGTGGTGCAAGGAGTGGTGCATGGACCGCCCGATGTTCCCCGCTGCAATGGAACAGACTCCACGCATCCACCAGCGGAGACTTTTTTGTTTTTGGCAATGTGGGTTATGAGGAGAGACAAACAAAGCCTCAGACATGGGGGGAGTAAATGCGAAGTATTTCCGGACTTTTGCAGCATTCAGTCCATCATGCAACTCCAGCAAAGAGTCACGCGGCGTGATGGAACTTCAGACATAATTCCGTCAATATGTCAATTACTGGATTGCGGGGAAACAAGCATTCATTCCATGCATCAACATTAAGTCCGGCTCTTGTTCCTTGAAACTAAACATCCAAAGACTTTGAATAGATGCGAAGTATTTCCGAAAGCTCTTCAACCCCCCATCTAGTCTAAGCATCTCCCCCTCGGCCCGTCTCCGGTGGCGCCACACCACCACCCTCCAACCACCAGGTGATCTACAATCATGTTCCCGCTTCACTGAATCTGTGGAGCTGGGGTTCATTCCGAACGCCGCCAGCGAGGACGAATGACGGATCTCGTTGGAGCGGCAGGCCGCAGGAGCTGGCGCCGTCGGGTTTTCCTCACGTAGAGCGGATCCGAAAAGGAGGGTCTCCCGGCGGTGGTGTCACGCTGCTGCTGGTGCGGCTCCGATAAGCCCAAGCTGGCCTGACTGACATAGGTGGATGACGGAGCTTACTTGCATTTACATCCTCGGGATAATGTTGACTCGAGATATCAGACACCATTACTTCAACCTCTCTCAACCTCACGATTGTTTCTGAGAGTCCATCCTTCTCCTCTCTACCCATTCACTCTCTCTCACTCCTCGCCACATCTCTTCCCCTCGTTTCTTCCCCCTCCTCGTCACACCTATAGACACATCAAACACAACACCAAGCTCGCCCATCATGACGGCCCTCGACGCCTCCAAACCACCCCACCTCCACCGCTTCCCCAACGGCAACACCCAGCTCATCCTCCACGGCAAGCCCTTCCTCATGCTCGCCGGCGAGCTGCACAACTCCTCCCTCTCCTCCGCCCGCTTCATGTCCTCCGTCTGGGGCCCCATGAAGCACAACCACATCAACACCCTCCTCGGCGCCGTCACCTGGGAAGACATCGAGCCCACAGAGGGCGCCTTCTCCTTCGCCGAGCTCGACGCCGTCCTCGCCGGCGCCCGCGAACACAACATGCACCTCGTCCTCCTCTGGTTCGGCACCTACAAGAACGGCATCTCCACCTACGCCCCCGGCTGGGTCAAGCGCGACACAAAGCGCTTCCCCCGCGTCCAGGTCCTCGAGGCCGGCGGCCGCAAGCGCACCGTCGAGATGGTCTCCCCGCTCAGCACCGCCGCCTGTGAGGCCGACTCGCGCGCCTTCGCCGCCCTCATGCGCCACCTGAAGGAGGTCGACGGCGAACACAACACCGTGCTCATGGTCCAGGTCGAGAACGAGACAGGCCTCCTCGGTGACTCCCGCGACCGCTCCCGCCGAGCCAACGAAGCCTTCACCCAACCCGTCCCCGAACCCCTCCTGCAGCACTTCCACTCCCACGCAGACACCCTCCACCCCAAGTTCAAAGCCCGCTTCGCCACCCCGCCGCCCTCCGGCACACACTCCTGGACCTCCATCTTCGGCCCCGGCACCGCCGCCGACGAGGCCTTCATGGCCTACCACATCTCCTCCTACGTCGGCCGCGTCGCCGCCGCCGGCAAGCGCGAGTACGACATACCGCTGTACACAAACACCTGGCTCAACTTCGACGACGCCTCCGACCTCGACCTGCGCGGCGTCCCCATCGTCGTCGGCGGCGGCGCCGACCCGGGCGTCTACCCCTCCGGCGGGCCCTGCCCGCACGTCCTCGACATCTGGCGCTTCAACACCATCTTCACCGCCCAAAAGGCCCTCGACTTCCTCGCGCCGGACCTCTACTTCCACAACTACGAGACCGTCTGCAGGGACTACACCGCCCATGCAGGCAACCCGCTCTTCATCCCCGAGCAGCGCCGCGACGAGAACGGCGCCCGGAGAGTGTGGCTTTCCTACGGCACCTACGGCGCCCTCGGCGCCTCGCCCTTCGGCATCGACACCGGCGCTGAGACGGTGGGACGGGAGTACAAGCTTCTCTCCCAAATCACGCCGTACCTCCTCGCCGCCGCGCCGGAAGACCGCATGGGATTCTTCTTCGACGAGGAGGCGGACCCCGCCGGCAAGGGCGAGCGGTGGAGCAAGGTCTTTGGCGACATCGAAGTCATCATCGAGCGCGCGTTCGTGTTTGGGAAGGCTGGTCCTGGCGGCGGTATGATCATCCACCTCGGCGACGCCAAGTTTCTGGCCGTGGGCCGCGGGTTCAATGTGAGCTTCAAGAGCGTGCGCAAGGAGGCGACCTTCACGGGAATCCTGGCGGCCGCGGAGAAGGAGGTCGCGGAGGACGGAACGCTGCGCACGCTGAGGGTGTTCAACGGCGACGAGACGCGCAGCGGAGAGTTCCTGATCATGCCGAACGATGATCCGGACTATGGCGGCTTCCCGATTGCGGTTACGATCCCTGCGAAGACGTGTATTGCTGAAGTGGAGGCGTATTGGGTTGCGGAGGACGAGGAGGATCGATGAACGATAAAGGTTTGCAAAGGATAGAATGACGGTTTAGATGGGTTGATACCTACGGCCAGGATTGGCTACGGCCGGTATAGAATGCATATAGGAATATTACGACATGATAATGACCGATTTGATGCTTCTGGCATGTTGTGGCGGTGGTGGCGGTCCCGTGATCCCGGCCGCCCGCCGAAGGGCGCCGTTGACGATTCTGACGTCGGACGCCACTCCTCCTACATAAAACCAATAAGAGCGATATTTTTTGCTCTCCCACCTCTCCTTACCCTCAATACTGCGCGAAGATCTCACCTGAAACCATTCATCGCGCCAGTTCCAATCAACCATATCCTTCAACATGACAGACGAATCAAACCTCGGCCCCAGGCCAAAAACCCTCACCGGAGGCTGCCTCTGCGCCAAGCTCCGCTACACCGTCACCCTCCCCGGCTCCCACGACTTCGTCAAGAACGCAATGACGTGCCAGTGTACCCAGTGCCGCCGCCAGTCCGGCGCGCTCTTCACCGCCTTCCACCGCGTGCCGGACTTCCGTTGGACGTCCGACACCACCGCCAGCCTGGCCGAGTACGGCGCCTCGGCGGCCGCCAAGCGCGGCTTCTGCAGGGATTGCGGCTCGTGGCTCTATTACCGCGGCCAGGACGGGTACAGCATCTGCTTGGGGACTGTCGACCCGGAGATCCTGTTTGGGGAGAATGGGGGCGAGGCATATGGACGGGCGCTGGCGAACGGGTTTGGGTTTCATGAATGGTGCGAGAACGAGATTGAGGGCGTGACGAGCGATATACCGATGTTGAATCGCGGGCAGAGACACCAGGGGATGTTTCCGGTAGAAGATGTAAAGGCGAAGCTGTAGGTGGCTGGCAGATGATACAACATTGTGATGAAATCGAGATATTATAATCATAGCCGAGTGCATGATAACTTGGACCATCACAACCCGCGCAGCCACTTGGAGTTCAATCCCGTCTTCTTGCTCCTGTCTCCCTCTTCACGGGAGTACCCCTCGGGCCTGATGTCTTCTCCCCGCTCATTCGCCAAGTTCCATTTCTTGTACGCCGTCGCCACGAGTTCTCCAACCTCCTCCCTCGTCTCTCCAATGACACCCAGCATTAATAATGCTTCAGTCTCCTCAATCCAGTCCTGCAAGCGCCGGAACTCAACTTCGTCGCGACGCAGCTTCTCCGGCAACCCACGGCTCTTCATAAGGGTCAACACACCAGCGACTGCCGTGTTGATCGCGCCCAGAACAGTGATGCTCTTCCTGTGCGTGCCCGCGGAGGGGCCCATGGCGGCCACCACGGCACCGATGATCAGCTGGGCGGCATGGCAGGTGTACAGTACGACGGTGGCGATGATGCGGTAGATGCGGACGCGGCGGTGGGCGGCAATGGTGGACGCGTAGATGCCGAGGGCGGAAATGCGGCCGGACTCGAGATCGCAATCGTCTTGGGGTTGGAGGTGGACGTTGATGCCCACTGCGCGACGGAAGAGGACGAGGTTGGACGGGTCGGAGGAGCTGGAAGGGCTGGATTGGTGGGACCCGGCATCGTCGCGGGGCAGAAGCGGGGAGGCTTCATCGTTGAGCGGTTTCGACATGGCTTCAGGCGTTATCAATGGGATATTGGGTGTCGGAGTCGAGAGTGAATTGCATCTTGAGAGAATGCAAACATGTTTATCAAGTATCCAACGCTGGACCACTTAGCCTAGGGGTATCTCGCAATCTTATCGGTGAAGTCGTCATCTGAACACGACGACGCGACTTCTGGTTATCTTTGAAGTCGCAATTTGATCACGTTCAGGGCATTCGTGAGGACTCCTGGGTGAAACCAGATAACTGCGTAGTATGCGCTAATCCGGGAACTGCAGCGGGCCGCTGGAGGGTGTAACGGTGAGGGCAGCCATTGGTCGCATGTCGAGTTGACATGAGACCGCTGTCATCTGTCACTGATCATCCGCGGTGGCAGGCCCAGAAATTGAGAGACTCGGTGCCTGAGTCGCGGCGGTTGGTTGGAAGCATCAGATAAGGTACGCGGCAGTGGTTCAGCGATGTGTAATTGTGCGATCCGTTGACTGACTTGAGTCGTGAGCAATTCGTTGTGACTCGGTTGACGCTGTCGGCGGTCTCGGTGAGAAATGTCCTGTGCTTCAGGGATGAAGCAACGTTGCAAAATGCAAGCAAAAGCGAGGATTGCCGCTAGCCGGCAAGTAGTCCGTTGCTGTTCTCGGGTCGCAAAATGCTTTGATGGCTTCCAGAATATCCGTAGAGCTTATTGATCTGCTATTATCCCACGTGAAGACCAAGGAAGGTATCATGGCAAGGTTGCAATCCGGTAGGCATCTGCCGAGGTGGCGTCTTGGCTCATTTCACGCCGCATCGACGCATCGTCGCATTGCATTGTTCGATGACATTTGATACCGATCGCGTGCTTGAATGGCTACTCAATATCTCCGACATTGTTGCCAAGTGCGATGTCGACAGCAGTATGCAGCATGTTAGCTTGTTTGCTGGCGCCGTAGAGGGTGACGTCAGAAAGGGGCCCGACTGCAGACGCAGGGACGATGTTGTGGCGTCGTATGCGGTCCTGTCAGCTTCGCAGCATCTCGTCCCTGTCGAGGTCTAGCTCGAGTCCGGCTTTGGGTGCCGCCGTCATTAGAAGCAATCCTTCGCGGTGGTGCTGGTTGGGTCTCAATCTCAAAAGACCGAGCCGAACAATGAGAGGCGGCAGAGGCAGACGAGGTGGATAAGGTGAGATGCCGGCGGTGGGCACTCGGGGATTTGATGGAAGTGATGCAGCTCGGAAGATGTCAGCAGTCCCACTCGACGGTCAACTGCCGTAGACGAGCTGCCTGGAATGGGATTCATCCATAGGGCAGTCGAATGAAAATATCAGGCGGCAGGGAGAAAAGCAAGAGGAAGAGGCCGGGCTGCGGCTGTGTCGTCAAGGTGAAACTGGATGGTGGTCGGAAAATAATTATTAGCTGGGGCCAAGCGTTCGTTCCATCCGCCTTACCGCGGGCAGGCCGTCCAGCTTGGGCGGTGAGGTGCCAAAAAGGGGAGACAAGACCTGGAGTGTCCGGGCGGGTGATCAGGGATGACGGTCGCTGAAGCTATGCGGGATGACGCCAAAAACAGCATCCACATCCCCAGCCACTTCCCTCCTTCTTTTTCTGGTGCATCTAACTTGTCATGCTGCGAGATAAAATCCATCATGCCATTTGGCGATTACCCAAGTACGGAGTAGTAAGCCACGACGAAAAGAGAAGGCAAGCCACCCGAGTCCGACTTCCTCGGGACATGAGGAAGGAGAAGGAGGAGAGGTCGAAACATCACAGCATGCATGGCAGGTGCCTAGGTAGGTATCGTGGATGCGCCTTCCTTCCCCTGCATCCACCTCGTGCTGTGACCCAGAGAGAGATCTCCCACTTTTGCGGGGAGTTGCACCTGCCCCAGGCCGACCTGAACTTGCCGTAAAAGTCAAACCTGCCATTCGCGGCAAGTGCAGCAGCAGCCCCTGCCTGCCTGTTTGCCGTGTGTTGCGCCTGCTCCTGCTTGTGTTTGTGGCTGCTTCTTTCTTCTTTCGCGTGGCAGTCACAGTCTAAGGCCGGTACCTACAAGAAACGGAAGGAAAGGGACTTGCGTGTGTCCTTCCCCATCAAACAATGGGAAACACGCAATGGGGTGCTCCTGCCATCAAATTTCCAAATTTCCCAGAGCAGGCAGCAGCATTCTGCCCTCCTTCCTTCCCTCCAAGTGGCAGACGACAACAGTAGCGCCGCCGTTCCTCCGCCGTGTCTGCATCCTTTCCGCGCCTCCCTCGTCTTAGTCCCGCTCCGTCCTCACCTCCATCCTTCGACGCTATTCCCGACTTACGAGTAGTCCTCTCGGTCTCGTCCCGTCTTCGCCTCAACTCGCTTACAGCCATGGACACCAGCAGCGACAGCAGCAGCAACGGGCATCAACTGCCATGTCATGTCATCCAGACCACCCGTCCGTCTCATCCCTGCCCACCCACTGACTTGCACCTTGCCCAACCCAGGCATGTTCCAATGACAATCCCAATGAGCCGTCCGATCCTCCAAAAGGGACTTTGGAGCTTGCACCAGGGAACCGCAGACTGATCCCTCCCTCCGTCGCACTAATGCGCAGTAACGCAACCAGGTACCGGTCGCGCCAAGGACCGACCCTGCCACCGATCCAGAGGCCCAACCATGAGCTTATTTTCTTGGCTTGTCCCCTAGGTACCTCCTTAGGTGCTCAATCATGGATCACGCCTCTCTTCGTACTTAACCTACCCGTCGCCCAACTGTCTCGTTGAAACGTCTCGGTCTGTCTACACGCCTCAAAACATCTAGCGACCGGTTACGACCTCGCCCTTGAACGCCGGACCTTCAATTCATCACCGATTACATCCTCCGTCCATCATGCATTCAAATACTTTTCTCCCGTTAGCCCTTCTCTTGGCTTCCAGTGCTGGTAAGCCCACCTTCTCCGATTTCTCCAACGGCTGCTAACGAGCCCCAGTCCACGCCGCCCCCGCGCATCAGCCCCCGGCCCTCCACGGAAGAGCAGACTTCAATATCCTCGTCGGCGGCAATGTCTCCCTCCGCATCATGCCCCTTGGCGCCTCAATTACCCACGGAGTCCAGTCCTCCGATGGCAACGGCTACCGTCAAGACCTTCGCAATGCACTCATCGCAGACGGCAACCCCGTCGACATGGTTGGCAACAACCCCAACGGCACCATGGAAGACAACCAGAACGAGGGCTGGCCCGGCCTCCGCATCGAACAGGTCCTCGCCAAGGCCAAGATTTCAGTCCCCGAGACCCTGCCAAACCTCGTCCTGATCAACGCCGGCACAAACGACTGCGTTCAAAGCTACGACACCGACAACGCCGGCGCTCGCACTCTCGAAATGATGGAGTACGTCTGGTCCACATCCAGCCGCGCCTCCATCGTACTCTCCACCCTCCTGCCCAATGGCAACAACAACACCGAGGCCTGCGTCCTGAAGGTCAACGAGCAGTTCAAGAAGCTTGTCGAGGAGCAGCAGGCCAAGTCCAGAAAGGTTGTCATCGTTGACATGCACTCCGACCAAGGCCCTCTCAAGAGCGACCTGGTCGACGGCACCCACCCCGACGATGCTGGCTACCAAAAGATGGCCAACCTTTGGTTCGCCGGTATCAAGGATGCCGCCTCTCGCGGCTGGCTCGAGTCCCCAGAGGCTCTTCCCGGCAGCACGACGTCCAGCTGACTAGATCAGATCGCGGCGCAGATGTACAAAGCTTTCCGCCCTGCGTTTGCCGGGGTTGAAAATGAGACGCGATAATTCGCGCCGATGAAAAGGCATCGAAACGCGCATTCACACTCTTGTAATTTACTGCATCACATATGGCGTTATCTAAAAGGGATGGGAGGGCCTCAGAAGGCTTGCGTAATTGAGTTTAAATCACCACAGTAATTGTTCAAGTTCACGCTAGACGGTCGCTCATTCGCCAGTTCGTGAAAGTTTACACCGGCTGGTAGTCTTACCGACGGACCCTCACCGTTTGGCCGAGGAAGCGTGCGGATAGACAACTTCAGATGAAATACCGACCAACCACCAGCCCAAGCCCGGCCGTTCCGTCGTCTCCATGCAACGTCCCCCGTCTTCCTTCTCCGCAGGCTACTCGTGGTGATCCTTCACTAGCATTGAAAACACACTCGCCCATCTCACTCCACATCTCACTCCACATCTCACTCACTCATCATGTCCCGCACAGTATTCACAGCCGTCTTCCTCGCCAACTTCTACCTCGCCAAGGTCGCCATCAACGACCTCGGCAACGCCAACGGCCTCAATGACGTCGTCGCGAAGAACCTCGAGGCCGAGCCCATCACCTTCACCACCGTGAGGCAGCTCGACAGCCTGCTCACCATGCTGGTGCGCTTCTTCCAGCCCATCGTCCAGGGCACCGACCTTCCCTTGACGCTCTTCTCCATCTTCATGGCTGGGCAGCTTCTGGCGGTGCACATGCTCATCATCGTCGAGGGCATGCGGGCTGGGAACCGCGGCAAGATTGTTTCTTAGTGAGTCTTGAGTGCATATCTTTATAAGACCTTCCAACTGTGTTTTTACTGCTTTTTTCCCCATGCTGTGAAACCTCCAACCGGGTTGGGCTTGTCTCGCTCGGCTTCCATAATGAAGGCGGTGATTTTCGGTATGGCTGGCGCGAGCCGAGCCGGAGGCATCGAGATGAGTTGATGTCGTGGAAGAATTTGAGACATTTGCTCGGCTGTGGTGTAGAAACGATCGCAAGGCGTATTCCCGAAACTTCATCAATAAGATTTCCCAACTGACGTGTCGCAACAGCACCACCGCCTGGGGCATGCTCTGGCAACTCATAACCTTCGGCGTCACCCTCCCCCTCTACTTCCTCGCCTGGCTCTGGACCTCCGAGATCCCCTCCGCCACAAGCGCCTTCTCCTTCGTCGACGCCATCTCCATCCCTCCCGCCGACGGCGAGACCGTCACAACCGCCTGGTCCCTCGGCGTCCTCCTCCCCAGCATCCTCGCCGGCCTGCCCCGCACACAGTTCTTCTCCCCCTACTTCCGAGAAGCCGCCCTCGCAATCTGGCAGGCCTTCCCCCTCTGGACCGGCATCCTCCAAGCCATCCTGCCCAAACTGACCACTGCCCCGGAAGCCCGCTACGAGACCGCAGAGACGAAAATCGCCCGCTTCAGCAGGATTTACACCTTCACCCTCGCCCTCGCGACGGCGTGCCACTACGGCGTCGTGGGCTACGTCGTGCTGAAATCCGAGTCCGCGGCGGGCGTGGCCCCGCTGGAGATGCTGGGGCAGATCCTGCGCCCGACGTGGCCGTGGAGCACCGCGCCCATGGCGAGTTTGGAGAAGGGGATTCTGGCGCTGTTGCAGTGGGATATGTACTGCGCGTCGCTGGCGACGTGGAGTTGGCTTGCGTATATGGCGTATGCGAGGGCCGGGGTGGGACAGGTTGTGATGGATCTGGGGAAGGCGGTCATGTGGAGTTGTGTGGTTGGGCCTGGGGGTGCGGCGTTGGCTGTTGTTTGGGGGAGGGATGTGGCGGCTTTGAGGGATGCTGCGGGTAAGAAGAAAACGGGTTGATGTTCAACGAACGACAATGTTGTAGGCATTCATCTGGTATCCTTGTGCCTACTTACTTGAGACTAGGGAAATGAGCGCAGTGGCGTCCTTATAGATCGGGAAAGTGATTGCAATCATTTGCAACGTTTGCTTCGAATCTCCATATCCAATGAGAGCCAGAACCCCCAAAACTGGTCCAGCTTTGGTTCTTGTGGATTAGATCGCGATGTCCCTGTGAGATCCGCTTCTGTGGCCTGGGCGTTTGAAAATATCGACTACATTTGGCATTGTCGTCAGAGTAACATGGCGCTCCAGTACTATGTCCTCCATCTTCAGTGCCAGTGCCTTTGAGCTATCCACGGTACTTCTCCGGTTTCTCCCTGGCTTTTGCGTCCATGTGCTGGGCGTTCGGGGACGGTTTGCGTGACCGCTTGCTCGGGCGCTAGCAACTGCTTATTCGACTGAAAGGATTGCTGATTTGTCGCCTTTGCTTCTTCAATGTCATTCTTCTTGACATAGAACTGTGCGTTGAAATCTGTGTCTGCGAAGTCAGACATAGCAGTGCTAACTTGGATGTCTTTTGATGCCAGATCCTGTTCTTTTGGCCCTGGCGCTTGCAGGTACATACCTCTTGTCTTAGAAAGTCCTGATAGTAGCCTCGACCCTTTTTCTGTATAGCTCGCTGATAATGTCTCTGAAAACTGTTGCTGTTCCTTGCCTTGCCTCTTCAGCCAGTTCTGCATTGCCAAGCGTACCAGCCGATGGATTTCGAGATTTCCTGCAGCATGTCGCTTCTTTATGAATGCGTACGCCATCAACGTGCTGATCGCCTCGTGGGTCTGTCTTTCGCTTTCCCCGGGGGGTAAAAGCGCCGGTGGAATGTATCTTTCAGCAAAATGGCAAGAAAATCCGAGGTAACTTGCTGCCAAGGGGTTATCTCGTGCAATATTGTCGAACGAAATGAACCACGTCTTTGCGACTGGATTCTGGATACTTTCGTATCGGTATTGATCGTCAAAATCTTCTCCAAGTAGCTTGATCTGCTCTTCGTCACTTGCTTCGCAATATTCTAGATACTGAGATATCGATGTATAAATATTGGCTTTCAAATAAGCTGAGGCTTGTTTGAGAGCTAACGGAAGATACGTGAGCTTCTCGAGAAGTTGTGTTGTGCTTCGGCCATTGTCGATCTGGCTCTCGCTCAAGTCGGTGTGTAGGAGCCGAGCAGCTTCTTGAGCATTCATCTCGGACAGATGGAGGGCATGGACACCATCAAATCTAGCTGCGATGATACTGTTCCGACTCGTGAAAAGGATGGAGCCTCTACGGCTATTAGGGGATGTATGCTGCAAGCTTTGGCCCGTTGAACAGCAAGCCAGTGTCGTCGGCATTGTCGACTATAAGAAGCCAGCTGTTGATGTCGTCCCGCTCTAAGGCAGTTCGGACCAGGGTTTTGACATCTGCTTTAGGATCCTCAGTGTTTTTGAGTTTAAGTGCTCGGCCAATCTTACGGTAATGGTTGCCAAACATCTCAACGCTTACAGCAGGTACCCAGAAAACGGAACAGTCGGGGTGGGCTTCGCGAACGCGGTACGCAGCTTCGATGGCGACTTGTGTCTTTCCGATTCCTCCCAGTCCGACGATAGCGGTCCTTGGGCAAGCGTCTCCATTGGCAGTTGGCGGTATCCTCTTCAGAAGTTTCATCAAAATAGTTTCTCTGCCGACAAAGTTTTCGTTTCTTCCAAATGGAACAAGGAAGTGAGGTCTTTGAAGGGCTTGCAGAAGTCAGAGTCTTATCTGGCGACATCCCTGTCCTACTTACGATTTTCAGATGCGTGTCTAGCGCTTGGCATCAATGGTGGGATGTAGCATAGCAATTCTTTGCCGAACGATGCCGCTGTGGCTGCTGCGTACGGCCGCCATTGCTCGTTTTTGTGTGCGTCGGCATAGTCGCAGATGCCACGAACAACTATGCAGGGGAAGCTGTTCATTAAGCCAGCTGCCCACATCTCGAAGCACAAGACCCCTCCCAAATCCCGACTATACTTATCACGCGTCGGCCCATCCCGCATGACCTGATTACCAGACGCAATGTTGCCGCAGAAAAGTACTGGGGTTGTCGTCGTCCGTTGTTCCCTTTCCACCGCAGGTCTACATTTCGTGCAGGTGGCTCCGGTGACAGCGTTGATGTGGCTTCAAAAAGAGTATCCCGTTCGGGGCCCGGTGAAGCAAAATCTGACTGCCTGGAGATCTTTGACAAGTGTACGTGAATCTGTGTCTTGTTCAAGAAGTCATTGGCACAGAGCTTGGATAAAGCGCCGAGGAGGATTTGCGGTGGCGCATTGAGGCTCCCAATTCGGGCGATGCGGCCATTGGCACCGGTCTTTCCAAAGTCGTACTGTATCACGCCGCCATGCTGGCCTTCGGGCTGACTAATGACAACCTCTCCAAGACGTATGTCGATGTCGTCGTCAAGGTTAGGAACGCCGCTGCCGATTCCGACCAGCAAACCGAATCGCAGGCACGGAAACTTGCTCCTCATCAGGCTTGCCGCCGTGGCAGCCGAGTTCGTGCCAATATGTCCGGCGGGTACGCACACAATGACGACGTTGTGGTCCTTGATTCGGCCGTAAGAATAAATATTGTTATCGGTCGACGGGGAGGGAATTTCAGCAAACTGTTCATCCATGATCCCCTCGGCGGCTGCCAACTCAACGGGTAGAGCGCACACCCAGCCGACGGTAAAGTCGCGGGCAGAAACGCTTTTCGAGGCCATTGAGCCTGTGACTTGTATGAGCTTGGATTACAACTAAGCGCCAAAATGTAGTAGAGTATCCGGGTTTGTTTCCCATGGAATGGCAGAGGTATGTTCTGAGCCGAATATTGAGGGGTAACAATGTTTAGTGTTGCGTTCCGAGGAGCAAGCATGCAGTACTGTGGGTCCATAATCTGTTGTACTGGCTAACAAATGCTCGTATCTAGACCCATGAGTTCGCTTAAGAAGGGCTGTCTGGTCGGCTGGAAATGACGCCATGTTGGTTTGACACCCCAATACACGTAATGCTTGGCAATGAATTAGCAGAATAGTTTCTGATTTGAAAAAAAAGACGCAAGCCAAAGGTCTATTTTGAATTCGCCAACAGCAAAATCTATCTCAGCAGGAGTAATTAAAGGAGGGTAAACACTTGACATAAGCCAGCGTCACTTATGATAATGGGAATGCGTTGATTCAGCAGAGGAATAACGCTGTCACCCATCGCTTGGATATGCATTGCACTAAGATTGTATATCAACCTTCCGGTATTACTGCTTTTATTATACGAGTGATGCCCTCGGTAGAATAATAGGTCTCATTATGGTACACCAGACCAGACTAAGCTGTTTGGTGGCGTAATCAATCTTCCCTCAGTATTGAAGTGGCGAATGGTTAGCATCTGCAAATGTGCTTTGCCCTTCTGACACGTATTTTGAAGAATTGCTACCCATTTGCCTCTAGCGTACGCTCTGGTGACGTGGTTCAATGCCAACCATTCCTTCAAATATCAGGACATAGCATATCATTTCGGCAACCCAAATAAACCTTTGTTTGCCTCATCCACAGCTTTACGCACCCCTTTAACATTCTCCATCACAGTCGACATGTCCGAATGAATACAGATACTAAAAGCCTTTCCCTTGAACCCGAAACTAAACTCGGTCCCCTCCGAGTCCGCCCCTGAATCTGTCACCATCGCCCTCTTCGCCCTCTCATAACACCTCTCCGGCGTCGCCGGCTGCGACTTCGCTACGGGCAACAGCGCCCCTTCCGGCGAGTAGTCGATATCAACATACACTTCCCCCTGGAACTCGACGCCGAGCTCCGCGCACATCTCCGCCTGCGCCGCATTGCATGCGCCGTACACGGGCACTTTAAAGGTAGCGCATGCCTCAAGCACGGCACGCATGATGGCCAGATCGCGCTGCATATAGAAGAAGAGCTCGCCATGCGGCTTGATATGCGCGAGCGGCACGCCCTGCGCGTCGAGCATCGCCTTGAGGGCGCCGACCTGGTAGAGCACCATACAATACATGTCCTTGGGGTCGATTTCCATCTTACGACGTCCGAAACCGAGGAGGTCGGCGAGACCTGGGTGTGCGCCGGCCTTGACGCCGTGCTGCTTGCAGAGAGCGATGGTCTTATGCATGATGGAGGGATCACCAGCGTGGAACCCGCAGGCGATGTTGGCGGCGTCGATGTAGGGCATCAGCTCCTCATCGGGGCCCTTTCATGGAGGTGAGTGAAGAGATTTTGTGAGCGAAAGAGGGAGATTTCTTACCATCTTCCAACGGCCGAAGCCTTCGCCCATGTCGGCATTGATCTCAAACTTTGAGGCTAAACGTGGCGCCATTTTAACTTTAAGAGAGAATGTAATTGATGATAGTGGTGTGTATAACGGGTGAAATTGTCTCTCCTAGTTTTTTGAAATCAACTTCCGCGGGAAACCGGGATCGTAGTCCACCGATGATCTCGGAAAGTTGTGGTGTTCTAGCTTCCATGCGTTGGGGTAGGTCATCGCCGGACGGCTTTGGGGTAAATATCTCCAATTAAGGCGTCCCACTTGGGGTAGATGATACCGCAGAGAGGGGCCGTTCCGCTGCGCCGAGCCACTGACAGCGCACCCGGGTTCTACAGTCTGGGGTTTCGGTGGCAGTGTCTATCAATTCCCATGGACATTCCTTTGCTATGATTCGTACAAAGTAGAGATGGTGATCCGATGTTGACGACAGATGCGGGGTTCTTATCTTGATAACGAATGAGGGGGTCTCTCCGTCGATAACAACGGTGTTGAGTGAGCAGCTGTTCGTCAGGAACACTTTGATTTGGACCGTTTTCTTACCCAAAGTGTTACTAGTTAACTTTAAGCTCCGAATATCCGGATCCCAAAGCCCAGGGAGCACCTAGATGCAGGGTCAAGATAAGAGTATGGGGTAACAACCCCCATCCATCATCCCCCCTCATGTCACATACAGTACAACGGGGAGTAGTCTGATGATGTATGTGCTTGAGAACCTGCTAGCATGATTATTCCTACTTATCCGAACGTGGAGGGTTCCCTTGAAGTGTGGGGTATTGATTGTTGACCACCCCAACTACAAAACTTGTCTGAGACTCCCGGCATGTTGGGGATATGCATGTTGATCGCTGCCGGAATCTTTTTCCATTCCCCCTCGCTCAGATATCACTATGGCTAGCTCATTAAAGGCCATTAAGAAAGTGTTGGTCGCCAATCGTGGCGAGATCGCGGTTCGATGCATCAAAGCATGCAGAGAACTCGGCGTCAAAACGGTGGCTATTTACACTGATGCCGATGCATCATCCTTACACACTGTGTCGGCAGATGAAGCTGTGTTGTTACCGGGCAGTGATCGCACTGCATACACCGATGGGTATACACAACTTGATTCCAACACCATATGACCACTTCTCTAATAGTGAGACTGTAGAGATGCGATCATAGACATCGCCCAAACTCACACCGCAGACGCCATCATCCCAGGCTATGGCTTCCTCAGCGAAAACGCAGACTTCGCCGCGGCCACTGAAGCAGCAGGTATCACCTTCATCGGTCCTTCGGTAACATCGATCAAGGCCATGGGTCTTAAGCACGAGGCCAGGGAAATCGCCCACCGGGCCGGCGTCCCCACGGTCCCAGGCACGCCTCTCCTATCTTCAGCAGCCGAGGCCCGCGAGAGTGCGTCACGCCTCGGGTTTCCCATCATGCTTAAGGCCACAGGTGGCGGCGGCGGCATGGGCCTGCAGATCTGCCAGGATGAAGCGGAGGTAGAGAAGGCGTTCGAAACGGTCGTTAGCCGAGCGGGCACTTTGTTCAAGAACAGCGGCGTGTTTCTTGAAAAGTATTACCCGCGATCTCGGCACATTGAGGTGCAGGTCGCTGGCAATGGCGAGGTGGTTGTGTCTTTCGGCGAGAGGGAGTGTTCGCTCCAACGGCGCCACCAAAAGGTCATCGAGGAGTGTCCGAGTCCGTTTGTCGATGCGACGCTGCGCAGAAAGCTCTGCCAGTCGGCCGTAGACTACGCATCCCAGTTAAACTGCAGGAGCGTCGGCACCGTGGAGTTTCTGGTGGACGATGAGACAGCAGAGTACTTCTTCCTGGAGATGAACACCAGGCTGCAAGTCGAACACGGCATCACGGAGCTGTGTTACGGGGTTGATCTCGTGCATTTGATGCTTCGACAGGCGGACTGCGAGAAGGCAGGGCTTGGCGGCATCCCAACGGCGGAATTGAGGTCGCTTGGGCGAGAGCAGCCCCTGGGCAGCGCGATCGAGGTTCGTGTGTATGCGGAAGACGCGCTCAATGACTTTGCCCCGCGGCCTGGGCTTTTGCAGAGTGTTAGATGGCCTAAAAGTGAGGGCGATGATGGGGTTCGTGTTGATACGTGGATCAAGGGCGGTCAGCGCATCACGCCGTACTACGATCCGTTGGTCGGGAAGATTATGGTCCACGACGACCAGGGTAGAGAGCAGGCACGACAGAAGATGATTCGAGTGCTGAAGGGAACAACTCTTCAGGGCACGCAGACGAACCTCCAATACCTCACCAAGGTCCTTCAGTCGGAGGCATTCATTCAGGGGAACACGCTGACCACCTTCTTGAACGACTTCGTTTTCGAAGCGTGCGCAATTCAAGTCCTAGAACCCGGCATGATGACAACCATCCAAGATTACCCTGGACGCGTGTCCGTCCGGCATGGCGTTCCAAGGAGCGGGCCCATGGACACCCTTAGCAGCCAGATCGCCAACGTGTTGGTCGGGGATGAGCCAGGGACAGAGTTGTTGGAGGTCACTTTGACAGGCCCGGCGCTGCGCTTCTACGTCGATGCTGTCGTGGCGGTATGTGGCGGTTCTGTTCCTGTGACGGTAGACGATATGGATCAGCCCATGTGGTCTAGATTCGTCGTTCGTCGTGGCCAGGTCCTAAAGCTCGGCCAGCTGGGTGGAAGCGGTTTCAGAGCATACATTGCCATCAAAGGAGGTTTTCCCGGGATTCCTTTGTTTCTCAGGTCGAAGTCTACGGCTCCAGAACTTGGCTACGGCGGGTTGGAAGGCCGCAAACTGCAGATGCATGACGTGTTGGATCTGGCGGAGCAGTCGACTCAGTGGGCCGCCAAGGCAACGTCATTTTCACTTCCAAGCAACGCTGTCCCCAGCCTCGATATTAAGCAGGTGTGGTGTATGGAAGGACCGTACGGCGACAACGACATCCTCACCCCTGCTGGACGAGCTGCGTTGTATGAGGCTGCCTGGAAAGTGAATCACAACAGCGGCCGCAGTGGCGTTCGACTGGCAGGACCGCAACTCGAATGGGCGCGCTCATCCGGTGGTGGAGGAGGGTCTCATCCATCGAATGTCTTCGACTATGGATACCCCTTTGGCGGCGTCAATTGGACTGGCGACTTTCCAGTCATCTTCTCAGTCGACAGCCCTGACGCTGGAGGGTTTGCCTGCCCGTTGACCGTCTGCTCGGCGGACTTTTGGAAGCTAGGACAGCTGAAGCCTGGGGACGAGATCCGGTTCAGACCGACCACTTTCGAGTCTGCCATTGTCATGTTGAAGAAGCAAGTTGAGTATGTTGCTGCTGTGGCTACGTGTGCACAAACGGGTCAAGTCACAGCATCAATCCCGGCTTTGTATCATGAAGAGGACAGCCAAGCTTCTTCAGGATCGTCAACACTGAGGGAAATTCCTGCGACTGACTCTGATCCTAAGACGATATACAGACAAGGAGGCGACTCTTCTATTATCGTGGAGTTCGGGACTCAGGTCGCTGATTTGCGCAATACCATTTGTGTCAGACTCTTGGCCAAGCAACTTGAAGACCGTCAGTTGGATGGCGTTAGTTGGACTCCGAGCATTGCAACTCTGACCGTTCATTTCAACCCCAAGAAGATATCACAAACCGAACTGCTAAGTATTCTGTCAGAGCTGCCGTGCGGCCTCGGCCAGTCGAGCAACCAGATGCCAGTGAGAGAAGTGCAACTGCCTATTTGCCTCGACCACTCAGCCATTGCGGAGGCTGTTCAGCGTTACATGGACAACATCAGAAAAGACGCGTCTTACCTGCCAGATAACGTGGAGTACATTCGGGAAAATAACGCGCTTTCTTCTCGGCAAGCCGTTTTCGACGCATTTCTAAACACACCCTGGCTCACGGTAGCTGTTGGCTTCTACGTCGGCACCCCATTCCTCTTCCCCCTTGATCCCAAGTACGTGTACGTGGGACAAAAGTACAACCCCAGTCGTGTCTTCACTCCAAGCGGATCAGTCGGTCTGGGCGGCTCCCTTGTCGCCATCTATCCCGTCGCTGCACCGGGAGGTTACCAGCTTATTGGGCGCACCATCGGCTGCTGGGATGAGACAGGTAACCGACCCTGTTTCGAGCCTTCCAAGCCCTGGCTGTTCCGTCATTTTGATCTGGTCAGGTTTGTGGAGGTTGGGGAGGAAGAATACGACAAGCTGAAGCACGACTATGACATCGGGCAGTACGAGTTTACCATCAATGAGACTACGATTAATATGGACCACTTCATCGCCAAGTTCGACGCTGCGAATCGGGATCCAGCTCATTTGGAGTGGACGAAGCGGCAGGCTGAAGCTAGCAAAGAGCTTGTTCGGCGGGAGACGGAGCTCTTTGACGAGTGGCATGCGGCTACGACAGCTTCGACCAACGGGGCTGCGGCGGCTGATGGGGAGCTGGAGGAGCGTTCGGGTTCGAACATTCTTCGGATCAAGTCTCCTGTGAGCGCGAGTGTTTGGAAATTGGAGGTTGGAGTAGGTGATGTGTTGAAGAGCGGACAGACAGTGGCTGTGTTGGAGGCGATGAAGATGGAGATCAAGGTTATTTGCGGGAAGGATGAAAATGGAATGGTTGTGAAAAGCATCGTGAGTCCAGCGGGCACGATTGTCAACCCTGGGACTGTAATAATGGCCGGTTTGGCAACTTAATCTTCGTCGGACGATTTCTTAGCCAGACTGGCCAGCGTTCCGCCAAGCTTGAAGCCGGTTTTTGCAAGCTACACCCCCTAGCGCCACTGCTGTTCCCGGGTTTAATGGCACGCTGTTCTGTACAACTCAATTCAAGAACCAGTGATACGTGTTGCATTCTCCTTCTGAACAATGGCTGAGATGATCTGCAGTCTACGCATCCGCGACCTAGACAAAACACCGTTGATGCTTGGGAATGGAAAATGGCATTGTCACAGATCAGATGGGTAATTCGGTGCTACCAGACTTTGTGATATCGGTGCGCCTCGATAAAGATGGACTTGGATAGAACAACTCTAAAGATTTCTCGAGCAAAACCCACAAGCTGTTTAGCCACTTGGTCTCGATTGGCTTGAAGTCTCCGAGTCCGATCTGGATACTCTATACGGAGTCGGTTCTGGTTCTGGGCTTGCAGTTTTAGGTAACTTCGTCAGAAATCACAACAAACAGGCCCAGTGTTTTATTAAGCGTCGGTCCCTGATACGCGTGTTGGTTCTTCACTCAGGGATGGCCCCCAACCTGCCTCTTTCAAAACCGTGCCGCGCAGCTGCATGCTCTTATCGGATCAGAAGAGGGGTAACAAGAACGGGCGGGCTCCAACGGGGAAAGAGATAAAATACAGGATTCCACCTGATGTGACCTCGCACTTGTTTCTTCCGATGCGTGACACAACTTCACATTGTAACTTGCAAGTATGAGCGCTCCTGACAACGTGACGCCTGGAGGGAAAACGGCTGCGCCAGACCCAGTTCAAGCCCACAATCCTGCCGATCTTGTTTCCGAAGAAGTTGTGACGCCTGGAGGGGAAGCAGCTGCGCCGGGCCCGGTCCAAGCCCACAATCCTGCCGATCTCGTTCCCGAAGAGGCAAGAATTCCTAGACATGGCAGACTTCAGTATCTCCTAAGAGCTAATGAATATCTCTAGATTACTGATGACAACGCTTCTGAAATTGGAACCGTGAGTGATGGATATGCCTTGAAACATGTGGGAGTTTCTTCATGTGTTAACGCCCAGATCTCAAGGGCGTCGCGTCATCAACAGCAAGCGTGACGAGTTCAGTTCTCAGCTATCGAGAGGAGAATGGACGCAAGTATCACGCATATAAGGAAGGCAGTGAGACGATTTGACATTCCGAGCTGGCCACACTTCGTAATTAACTAATGTGGGCAGAATATACCGCCCCCAACGACGAGCAAGAACAAGACCGACTGGGTAGGCAACACTCTTCCTTTGATTAGATCTCTGAGAAGTTGGTCAATGCGTCTGCTGCAAAGTGCTAATATTTTGCAATAGACTTGCAACATAACCTGTTTCTCTTGACATTTGACAACGCGCTAGGACTGGCGCCTCCGAACCAGCCCAACTCAAACGTCCAGCGTGTTCTTGATGTCGGAACTGGCACGGGAATCTGGGCAATTGACTTTGGCGAAGATCATGAAGGAGCTGAGGTACTCATTTCGCCACGACAACGCGACATGAAATGCTGATTTCCATTAGGTTCTTGGTATCGATCTTTCCCATTCGATGCCCGAGTTGTAAGTACAGATTGGTCCACGGAAGCTCTCATGTATCGAAACATTTCTTTCGTTTGTTCCTCACAATGAGCAAACTCGCTAACAGGACAAAGCGTGCCACCGAATGTCCGGTTTGAGATCGACGATCTGGACGAGGAGTGGACGTACTCGCAGCCGTTCGACTACATTCACACCCGTGGTATGAATTCTTGTATTGCGGATTGGAGAGTCTTCCTTACGAAGGTTTTTGAGTATGCTTTTTTGATCTCCTGCTTCATATTTGCTATGCGCAAAGATTAACATTGTTTCCCAGCAACCTGACGCCTGGTGGTTACTTCGAATTGCAGGAACTCGAAGTGTTTCCTCGTTCCGACGACGGCACTCTCACTCCAGAATGCCAACTTTCACAGTGTATGAAATACGTGCACGAAGCGTTCGAAATATTCGGACGTTCATTTCAGCAAATCCCAGACCTTGTCAGAGTCATGGAGGATGTCGGCTTCGTCGACGTCAAGATGAGCTTGTTCAAATGGCCATCGAATACGTGGCCGAAAGACCCTAAGTACAAAGAACTAGGTGATTGGAACAATGAAAACATCAACAATGGTTTTGTGGCAATCACCATGGCGCCGTTTACCAGGGCTCTCGGGTGGACGAAAGAGGAGGTACATGTCTTCCTGCCTGGCGTCCGCAAAGATTTGAACGACAAGTCCATCCATGCGTACTGGCCCGTGTAAGTGAAGCCGTTACGTTCGAGCTTTCAGGGGTAGCTAATAAGTTGCAAGCTATGTTGTCTACGGAATGAAGCCGGTTGTGGATAATACAGAGACTGCGGAGGCATAAGACTCGAATCTTAGAGTGAGCGTTAGCATTTGGAAATATTTAGAGATTTCAATGGCTTCATCAGTTACTAAATACCAAGTGACATCCCCTTTCCGGCAAAAGCCAACATATCAAGCAATGGGATAGGTCCCCTGTTCATGCTCAAGGTGAAATTGTTGCATCGTGTCACGAAATCTGTTGTCTTTGTGGGTTCGCCGAAGCTTGTCTCTCTTGAGGTCTCACAGTTCTCTAACCTCGACTACTTGAGCGAAAGAGAAGTCATAGCGAAGTCATACAGCGACGAAAGTTCACAATAAAAATACGTTTATTGTAAAGATAGGTAGCTTAACTATCCAGCTTGAAAAGGCTGCAGTTCCCAGTACCTATTCGCATTGTCGAAGCGTTCTTTCTGGATTAATTGAAGTTCTTCTTGGCCTGTTGTAGTTGATTAGCCTCCACCGCTCAACGTTGCATGGTCTGGGTAGCTCACCTCCTTGAGATTATCCTGGTTGGTCTTCTTTCCCTTCTTGAAGGTCTTGTCGAGCTTGTCCAGCGCGGGTCCATCCTTCTTCGGGTTGCCAGTCAGCCCGTTGACGGTCTGCTTCGCACCCTTCTGCGCGTTCTCAACCTTTCCAAGTCCCTTGGTCAGAGCGGGGTCCTTGTTGCCGGCAATCTCCTGGTTCTTCTGGCGGTCCTTGGTGGCCTCGTCGAGGGCGCTCTTGATACCCTTCTCGTCCTTCTTTAAACCCTTGGCATCGTTCTTCTTGACATCATTCTGAGCCTTCTCAGTGGCCTTGATTTCCTTCTTGCCGGCGTTGATGTTGTCGTTGATGCCCTTGACGAGCTTCTTCTTATCAGAGGACTCCTTGGCAGTGGCTGGCTTGGCAGCGGGTTTGGCAGCTGGTTTGGCAGCGGGCTTAGCGGCAGGGGCCTTGGTCATAGCCTTGTTGTTTGCCGGGCTTGCCATGGGTACGGCGAGGGTGAGGCCAAGGAGGAAGAAGAGGAAAGCGAATGAGAAGCGCATTTTGGCGGTGAGTGAGCTTGTGTGTAGATAACGATAGTGTTAAAAGTAGATTAAGTGAGAGTGTGTCCGAATCCAGTCGGATAAGAGAATGTATTAGTAGAGAAAGTAGAGAAAGAAGACTTGTCAGATGATGATGTGATGGAGATGGGAAAGAGAAGGTATTGTCGAGGTGACTCTATTGTATTTATACTTGACAATCCAGCTGCAACTATACGCAAACTTCACAAACCCGTGCCGGCGAAATGTGCAACTTCACGATGTCGCCGACGGTGCAGAGTGAGAAGGTTTCGTAATTGAACTCTGTTTATCTTTTGGGGATGCCATGATGCGAACATGTCGTGTGAAGGACAACACGAGCCAACTCGGGGCACGCGATCAATGGCGTCACGCCACTCAACCCGGCGTAGGTATGGCTAGCCGAGTCATCTTGCTCACAGATCGACTCGTCCCGGATTTCTGGATATTCAGCGAATTTAGTGGGGTGGCCCTTGCGGATGATTTCCTCCCATTATCAGATGAGGAAACTTTGCTGAGAAGCATAGCCAAAGAGACTTCAGACGATGGTACACTCAGTTGTTTTAGGATGAAACTGGAGGGCCTTGTTCATTGGTGGTTAACATGCATATCTGGTTTAAGGCTCAGAACAAGGCGGTTTGCTTCAAGCATGATTCGTGGGGTGAAAATGTTCTCAGTCTGTCAAGTCGGGCTGCCGATGGGTCCCGAAATGCCCGAGAATGTCGGAACGGGTCGCCGCCCACTTGGGCGTCCATATGAAGAGAGCATGGGGAAACAGGAGAAGCATAAGGATAAACTTAGAATTGGTAGCGCGCGTGCACCCGACTGGACGCGAACCCGACCATGCTATCCCTGCCAGGGTGATCTTCTCACCCAAGACGGACGGATTTGCCTTGGCACGGTGATCTTAGAACTTCAATCTTGGCTTCAAAAGCTTGTCAAGTCTTGGGGGTTCATCTGTCACATCCTGGGCATCTGATCTCTGGTACCGGGCGTCTGGTGCCTCAGACGAGCATCACCTATCCCCTTTCGACGAGCTCTCACAACGTGTAAACTTTAGCCGGATGTATCGTGTAGGGGAAATTTTGCCGGTTGGTCCCTTTTAATCACTAACTGTTGCGTGGTCTCTCGCCATCTACGAAACCGTGTGCTGCTCACTCTATCATGGACTCTGTTTGGACGGAGTGTTCAAAATTCAAAAGCAGCATCAATTCAGATAACAGCTTAATTCATGGTGGCAAAAACTTCTAACTCGTTTTCAAGTAGTCTGCCATCATCTAATCCATCATCAGCAAGCTTTCTCATTTCCTGAACTCATTCAACTTGCGATGAACGCGCGTCTTTTGGAAGCTCATCAGAGACAGAACTCAATAAAAGAGGGTGTTTAGATTCTCCCGCCACCATCTTTCGAGTCAAGTGTAGACGGCATCAGTTCCCTCGCAAGAGCCCGCGCGGGCGCCACCTACAATCACCGGACTCTACACGGCATCGGTCTTCACGAATGCGAAGGCCATCACGTTTCCTGCCCATTTTGCCGCTCTTCCCGCACGCGTCGGATACCTCCGAGCGTCTCTCAAGACAGGGAATCTCGGGCATGAAACTGGGTGACCTGTGCTGCTCATGAGACGCAGTGGGAAGCTTGTTTAAAGTTTTCAACGGGCCGGGGTAGGACCAGCGGACTTCGCTTGTGGGGATTTTGTGAGGTTTCCCTTCGTGGATGGGAAGAAGCTCTTCACTTGACGTGGCTTTACTTGGTCGCCTTTGCCGTGGGAGCACACTTCGCCATGCGATGACACGACCCAAGCTACGGCTGTCAGTCATACGACCACTTTAAGTTTCCTTATAAGATCGTCAATACAATGAATGGTCATTGATTCTGTAAATGACATGCCTCGACGGCGAGCAGATCTTTAGATAGTAGAGAGGAGGAAGCAGGCAGGCACGTTGCAAAGTGGTGAAATGAGTCGGCCTTAGGGGAGTCACTTGTCTTGGGTTACGCAGTTCGCGCAAACGTAAGCGCTGAAAAGGGGAGAGTACAATACACATAGCCAGTAGATACAAAAGAAAAAGCCCCAGCTCGCCATCTAACCAGATAAAACCCATGAATGCGAGTCATTGTGCACGCTTCTCACCAATATTACCTGAGTCTTTTGAGAGGAAAAGGTTCATCTGGTAAAGCTATTTTGAATAAAACTAAGTTGAACCAGGCGACGTCCTCTTTGTTGACCTCCACATCAGACTACGAAAGTTCTTGTGAGCTTTTTCTTCTGAATGCCTAGCATCTTGATGCAATGTATCACTTGATCTTTTCTTGTAGACAACACATCTGAAGGCCCCTCATTTCCATTCTACAAGCCACCTCGAGTCAAAAAAATAAAAGATTATCCGTATCTCTCTTTCTCTCACTCACTCACACCATCTGTGTTAGCCCGGTAATATGTTGGAAAAGAAAGAAAGAAGCTCTGTCACTTGCATACATAGAAATTGAGGTTAAAGACTGTTATTGTCGTTGATTTTGGCTTGACCTCCAGTACCCAGAAATGCAAACAGGCGTGGGTGATAGGGAGAGAATCGTCGAGTCAATATTTTCACTCATGTGAGCCTCAGAAGGCGTGAAAGCGCAAGAAGGGGATTCAAAACCAGACCACAACGCATGCATGCATGCATGTAGTCGTTCTTGCCGACGTTGTCGCTATGGCGCCCCCAACCTCTAGGGTGGAGAGCGGAGTCAACCAACTGACAAACAACACATGTTTATTTACCCTGGGAGTCAAAAGGATAAATAGGTTTATTTCGCACCACTGATTAGTTCCCCATGAGCCTCGATTAAAAGAAATCACGGGGTTAAAAAAAGAGAAAAAGCAAAAGAAAATGAGGACGGCCCGACTCGAACGGGCAGCCTTCTGGACTGGAATCAGATGCGCTACCATTGCGCCACGCCCTCGATTGTTGAGGTCATCACAAGTGCAATCAAAATAAGTAGCCGTGGGCAGAGCGGGCTCGCTCTGGTAGCCTGCACGTAGCCGTGGTCGATAATGAAGCTGATCGAGAAGGAGCGGTCCAAGTGGTTTATATCGACGAGCCCGGGCCAGTACCTTCCCCACAGAATCCCGCTGGTAGGTCCCACTAAATTGGCTCGGCCGGACAATCGTACCCCCGAACCGCGTCTTCACCTCGGTGAGCCAACGCCATTTCGCGAACCTACCAAGCTCGCATTTTCGCAGACGTAACTAATCTTCAACCTCCAACTTCAGCAACTTCCCGTCGAAATCCCCAACCACCCAAACACCCGACGACGATCACCACCACCAACGACACCCGCACATAATAAGAAAACAAGGAGCAAGAAAGAAGAAGGAAAATGGACTACCAAAACCGCGCCGGCTCCAAATTCGGCGGCGGCGGCGTGGCCTCCCACTCCGCCACAAACGCCGACCGCCGCGAGCGCCTGCGCAAGCTCGCCCTCGAGACAATCGACCTCGACAAGGACCCCTACTTCTTCAAGAACCACGTCGGCTCCTTCGAGTGCCGCCTCTGCCTCACCGTCCACCAGAACGACGGCTCCTACCTCGCCCACACCCAGGGCAAGAAGCACCAGACCAACCTCGCCCGCCGCGCCGCCCGCGAGCAAAAAGAGGGAAAACAAAACATCGACCCGGCCACCGGTCTGCCCGTAGGCGTCGTCGGTGCCGGCTTCGGCGCCCTCGCCCGCAAGAACGTCATCAAGATCGGCCGCCCGGGCTACAAGATCACCAAGGTCCGCGACCCAGTCAGCAGGCAGCAGGGCCTGCTGTTCCAACTGCAGTACCCCGACATCAGCCCGGACGTCGAGCCCAAGTGGCAGGTCATGAACGCCTTCACGCAGCGCGTCGAGGA